GGGGAATGGTAGGGAAAGGGAGGAGGGTGGTACAGCGGAGACAGAGTCCGAGAGAGAATCGAGGCGCGGCTGTTCGAACACGAACGACACTACCCGGACCGGCTTCACGACGTGGAGTTTTATTGAGGAGCAGATGTTTGAAACGTAACCTATAATGATTCGAGCGCTGTACGTATGAAACGGGCTGGGTATAGGCATATGTATATGTATAAGAGCGTCACGATAACGTATTTTATTGCGACCTCCGCCCGATAATGTCGCTTCTTGGGAATCTAAACAGGGACCGTGGCGACGGGCACACGGTGTTTCCGTCACTGACATCGAACAACTCGCGTCCTTTACGGATCACACCCCCAGGGAGTTTATGCGTTCCGTGAAAACGGTTCCGCGACGCTTTTGTGAAAACGACCACGTAACCCCTTTGGCGATTTCCGCGGGACGCGTTACGGATTATGGGACTGTCCCTGTGATGGCTTTCGCCAGGTCCCTTCGTACGTACGACAGCTTTGCCGAACTGACTGGACGTTGTTAACTCTTTAACTACTAAGAGCTCTTTAGATTTATAAACGCTTTCTGTCGACGGAATAATTTTTTTGGTACTGGTCGACTGTTTCAATCTAAATTAGTCACTTAACATTACCTTCTATGCTCCATGATGATCAATCCCTACTGAACAGCTCATTCCAGATCATTATCCATTGGATCACTAGCTGTCCAAATTTTACTCACGACCGAACTGCATTTCCCCTACTCCCTCAATCTTCCCTATTTTTCCACTACTCGTTATATTTCCTATTCGCAATTACGTGAAAAATGAACCCGAAGAGAGACTTCTCCTGTAAACAGTACTACTCTAAGGGAACCCACGTCTGCGTAGGAAGAGAAATTCTCAAATCATCATTTGACATTACCCATCTATATAATGATCGCTACTGGACAGTTCCCCTCAGATCATTATCTCCTGGAACACTGTTGTTCAAGTTTGACTCATGACTAATCCAGATTACACCTATTCTTTCGTTCTTCCCTATCTTCTGACCACTCATACTGTCTCCTATTGTCATGGATCTAAAGAGAGAAAGAAATTTCTCTTGCAAGCAGCACTACCCCAGGGAAGTCTTGTCTGTCCAATAACACTGAGTCTCTCAAATCGTTGCTTGGCATTTTTCATACTACTGGATAGTTCCTCTCAGGTCCCCTATCCACTGGACAGTTCAACACTCAAGCAATAACACTAACACCCCTCGAGTCGTTGCTTCGTATAATCTTACCATCAGCAAAGTGCAAAAGATTGGCTAGAGCTCTCCCTCTCTCTCTTTCTCGAGATTCGTCCAGATCGTGTTCCAGTTCGGAAAGCGCGTCGCGTTGTCGCGCGATGAGGGTCTGGGACCCGAGTGTCTGGCCCCATGTGGGCAGGACAGGTTTGGGGGCCCTCTCATTCACGAACATCTCCTCTGCCGACAAGCTCTTTCATTGTTTCGCTCGTTTAGGGGTATCGGCATTTCGGGCCATCAGCCGTGCAAAAAGTCGAGCGAGGAGAATGGGGGTCCTTCGGAGCATCAGCGCCAACGACCATATCGGGGCACTGTGGACGCGTACGTGCGGGCCCATGTACGGGCCCATTTGGGCCCCGACCGAAGGGACCCTCCGAATCTCGCGGGCCCCGCCGCAGCTCGTATTTGCTCCCCCTTCCATCCCCCGATTATAATAAAGGAACACATCGTCTTCGTTGATAAAATTAATTTGTCAGTCGGCCATGGACGACCGGAAACGCTCGTTTGAAGCTGAAGGAACTTCGAGGGCCATTGATCCTCTGGGGACAATACGTCGAAGAGAGACTCGAACGAATTCTCTGCTTAGGATTACCGTCTTAACTTCTAACCTGTTGTTATGCAGTAAAGACTCGATGAGAGTTGGATAAGAAGTTCCTCATGAAAGTTTTTATTGCATCTAGAGAGAGTTGCCGAGGGCTTTGGGAAAATAATAGATTTGCGAGGTGTTGAAACGATTCGCGGTGCACCGTGAAAGTTTTGAAGCGGACCCGAGTTTCAAACTCCCATGGAGTCTTTACTGTCTTTTGTTATTATTCTTGTTTTAAAGTGTAATAATTATTATGTGTTTTACTGTTTCAGACGGCGAATACCTGTTCGTCGATCCGGAGAATAAGTTAAGCAAGTACGCACCGAAGAACTGGCGAAGTTCTCACACATACGTAAGTACTTTTAATCGTTCGATGAAAAATTATAATAGGATATCAACGTGTGCGTTGGGGCGGGAGGAACAATTAACTGTGAATTTATTTCGATAACTGTTATGTTGAAATCGCGAAGCTTCACATTGAAAGCTACACGTTATATTCGTAATATTATTTTAAGTCCCAAAGTATTAAGTGTTATGAAATAATAGATGCATCTTAAAACTTTCGTCCCTGAATATAAAATATTTTACCTATTATGGTGCCTCTGTAAATTCGCCTAGTCCACTGAAATTCACGCGAAGCTTAACATAATAAAACGTAGCATTCTAAAATTGGCCATTTCACGCAACAGTACGCTTCACAGACAACGTGACGTTACGGCAAAACGAAGCGAGGCTGCGAGGTGTACGATAACTCGATTGTCACTTCAGTGCGTTCCTTATTCTGCATACTTAAGGAATTCACAGGTTTAGATGATTCAGATGCGCGATGGGCGTGTCATAAACTAAATGTGATCCGTCCGAGACCAACACTGTCTGGAACGTAGAAAAAATTTATGGTTAGACAATGCTTGTTTGACTATTCATGAATTTTTGTCCATTGAAGTATCTACTGCACGGTACTTTTTCATGAATATTTTGTGAAACTGACATTGACAATAATTTAAATATAATAAAAACGACAACCTACACTGAATCAAAACGATTTTCAAAATTAAGCCTGTATACCCAAGTAAATGTGTAAACTTTTGATATGCAACGAGTCAACAAAATACCAATGGTTCAGTTGTAAAAATCAAACATGTTAGAAATTAGTCAACTAGCCCTCCCCTACGTATAATGTTCCCCGGTTGCGGGTCGGGGGCTCTTCGAACGGTACGTTCCACGCCGGGAGGAATCGTGAAAAAGGACGATTCAAGAGCAAAAGAAGAAGGCTCGCTCGCGGCGAAAGGAGAAGGGTGCGTAGAAGGCCCTCTTCGGTCAAATTAGCATTTCCATCCGCGGGTGCACGATGGCGGCCGTGGTTTTGCCCGGAGGGTAGCGCTAAACGAGCGTACAACAGCAGTCCTCTTTCAAGACGAGTAGCCTCGCAATATACCCCGGCCACTCTATCTCTCTCTTTCTCTCGTCGTCGTCGCCACCACGGACACCAGTGTGCGTTGCTTCGGAGCTTCTCCGTTCGAGCTCTGAACACCGACCTTGACAGTGGTTAACGTTAAACCGTGGACATTCGTTTAACAAAGAGAGGTCCGACGATGTTAATTTGTTGTTCTTTTAACCGTCTAGAGTTCCATGTTGGGGGGGTGGACTCGATGGTGAATTTAATTAGAATTACTGTGGACTTCAGTGATCTCTATTTAGATTTTTTCTTACATGTACAATTTTACAGTTGCAACGTTTGAAATATTGTCGTGATTGTATTGAATGTCAACAATTTACCGCCGAGAAGCATTCTGTGACTTTATTAGCAAAATGTAACTTTGCATAAAACATTCCTCAATCATAAATTTGTCAATTATTGACTTTCACGCGGAAAAGGGTTCAGCCTAACTAGCGATAGGCAATACAGTATCGATATATCAAAATATTTATACTTTTCAATTTAAATATATGTCGATATTTTATATCGATTCCTGGACCCTTCAAATATCGATACAATTCAAATGTATCGCCATCATTAAGCCTAACCCAGATATTGAAATATCTCTGCGGTCGTGTCCCTACCACGGAGACTCCAGTACCCTCTCGTCTCGTCGCCCCTACCGTGGAATTTCAGCAATTCCCCGTTCCAAGCTTTTCTCGGGGCCGCAGGAATTTGTCAACTCCGCGGAACGCGTCCGATCGCCGGACACCGGGTCTCGTCCGCTCGGAATTGCGGCTGGCAAGTTCCTCGATGGAGGGGGAGCCCCCTTTCCCCTCGAGAGAGGAAGAGAGAGAAACAGAGCGTGCCGCCTCGTGCGATATCTTCGTATCTGCTCGAAGCGGTAGGACCCCCGTTCCGCTAATGACGGTCCACACCAATAACCAATAAATACTGGCCCGGTAAAACCGAGCTACCGGACTACGTGCTTATCTCGCCGGAACATCGGCCGCGAGGATTTTCTGCGGCCGTGCGAGAGGTCCTCGGCTATTAAAACTGGGCCCCTCCCCTATATCGGCGCTTTCGTGCTCCCCCTCCACTTCCCGCCTGGGCCCCCACTACTCGACGTGTTCCCGCTCCCTGGCCCAGAGTCGGACGTTAGTCGACGGGAAATAATTTAAATACGGTTTTGAAAATTTGTACGAGTAATCTTGGAGCAACAGATCATTTGCGAATGGAGTAAAATGGAATTTTAAGTTGAGAGAATTTGTGGAATCAAGAAAGTTTGCCAGATGGGTAATTTTATTTGAAGCTAGTGCTTTAGAGATTAGTAATCAAATGTGATATTAACATGTTAGATGGATTGAAGTGTTCGCTATACGACATATGTAAATGTGGACAAAGTGTAATAGATCGACTGATGTTTGTTCTTTTCCAAACCTACGCGTGTACGCGACGACGATGGAATGCGACGCGAACGTAGCTCAGGTACCGCGTCACACACTTTCGATTTCCATCCCGTCGATGACCCGACTCGGTCTCTCTTTCTCTCCACGCTTTCGCGGGACGTGACTGATGTAATTGAGAAGTGTCTGTTGACAGTCATCGTGCGATGTTTCGTTAACCCCAGACAGCGACGCTTGGGTTCGTTCGGACCCCAACTGTTGGCTTAAATTGGTTTTTGGTAAGCTGACGAGTTGGGTGAAGCTTTGAAAAAAAAATTCAGTAGAGAATATACGAATGTTGAAACCAAAATGGTCCAGTTTGATTCCAAAATGGTCCTTTTCGAACTCCTTTGGCCTGAGGTGATCTAATCGAGGTTGGAATTTGAGGATTGGTTTCTATGTTTTGGAGTAGTCTACATCAGGATTCTTGAGTAGAGATGTGGTCTTCTTACCTTCTACTTTGTAGCCTTTGTTTCGAACGGAATCATAACCAGTTGTATCCTTGCATTTATTGATCTCAGACACTTTATCGACACTGTTTAATGTACACACACGAACTAAAAATAGTCTATCAAGCTTCGGTAATATCAATCTTCACGGTATATCGCGGCTCGATCGGCTCTTGCCTAACCCGGTTCACCGGATGGTATGCGACCCCAATTGGCCGGGAATCATTAAAACCAGCGGAAAATCGAGTATACCGATCGTGCTCCATTACTCAGAATTATTTTCCCATACGAAAGGCATCGGTGATCGATCCCCCGAAGTGCTTGTTCGTTAGCATACCATGTGGAGGGAAAAGAAGAAAAAAGGTGATTGAAATATTGTTCGAAACTAACAGGCGCCAATTGAAGTATGGCACAGCTTGCTAATGGACGTGATTTATTGGTATGTACGCGCGCGCGCTATATCCGGCCAGGGACATGCCATAGGAGAGCCCATATGTATAAGTGGGCGATTACCGTTCTCCCTCGATCGCTACGGCACAATGTGGCAACGCGCCAGGCGCCAAGTAACGGCCACTAGTCAACATCAACAATACCATTCCAGCGAAGCCATCAGTTCCATATTCGTAGCGTCGCGTCGTTCGATTTCATGCTGTCTATCAGAATACGACACGGCCCTGTTCCCGGCCACGTTGGCCTAACCTATCAGGCGGATCGCGCGCCAGTTTCGAATAGGAATTCGTTCCAAGACGTCGGATTTGACAGTTGTTAGCCGGTTGTTCTACACATTGTACTGATACGGCGACCAACTGCGCCTGGTGACTGCCAGTGAGGAAGTCCCGCACTATGGAATTTATTCAAGAGACGTCAATATACAGGGTGTCCCAAAATAGCTTCGACTCCCAGAAATGAGGGGTTCCTGGGATGATTTGAAATAACTTTTTCCTTAGGAAAAATGTTATCCGAGGCTTTGTTAACGAGATATTAACGAAAAACCCCAACCAATCAGAGCGCGATGTTCCCGGTCGAACTTCCACGGTAGCGGTGGTTACCAATCACAGTGCGTAGCGAACGCTACAGCGGAAGCTCGGCCGGGAGACTCGCGCTCTGATTGGTTAGGGTTTTTCGTTGATATCTCGTTATCAAAGCCTCGGATAACATTTTTGATAAGGAAAAAGATATTCCAAATCATCCCAGGAACCCTTCATTTCCGGGAGTCGAAGCTATTTTGGGACACCTTGTATACCCGGTAGAAGATATTGGGTATGCAAATCGTTCGTCCAGGGAACTCTCAGTTTTAACGCTGACTGTACCCGCGGGCCATCTAGGAACCTCGGGAGCAAAAGACCGTAACCGAAGAGTGGAAGGGGAACAGAAGTGGGATGACGAGAGAGAGGATGAAGGGGAAGGGCGCACCGAGCCCGGATTAATATTTATGGTTCGTAAAATATGCGGATGGACCCGACGGTATAATTTGCTACGATTTGACCGGAGGGTCTAGGTCTAGACACGACCGAGAGAGGGACCCTTCTCGGTTTAATTTTCGGCTACCGAATTTGGAGCGGGCTTCGTTATTGGTACCTGTCTCTCCCTTCGTTCCGCGTCCTCGTCGTCCTTTGCCCCTCTTCCCTCTCCACGTCTATTCCGTTCCTTTTTTCAGCGGGTCCCTGCGGTCCGATGATGTATCGAGCAACTCTTCACCAGGGCCCGTCGAGAAGGGACGAGGTGGGGGGTGTCCCGTGTTAGGCGACTTCTAATTTCTATTGGCGAGGCCCAACGGAATCCTTTTGATTGCCGGATTTAAATGGAACGCCAGGCCTATCGTTAAGACAGATTGGACGCATGTGGGTGTGGGTAAGTGAAATTAGGACTTGAATCGATCCACCGAGTTTTAGATGTTGGGTATAATGAGCGATCCCCCACCCTCCCTCCGATTTTTAAGCCCCGAGACGATCTGGGTTCGTTGTGTTGCGTAAATTTGTTGCTTTTTCTCTTTGTGGATATGAAGGTCTACCTAGCAGGGATAGAGGATGGGAATTAAAAAAAAGAATTAATTGTTGTTCCTGTATTGTATTTGTCACTACTAATTTCTATATTCGTACGTACACACGTACATATAGTTTCCAAACATAGAAAATACGATTCCCATTATCACGATATTTTTACTTTAGAAATATTGTTTTCCCACACTGTATCTTTATTCGAAAAAAAATGAGTAAGAAACAGTTTATTCGTTATAAATTGTCATATCTTTATTAAAAGATGGGTTACGAAATGAGGCACACATGCTTATCGAGAGTGTTGTATAATAAGCGAAAACAGATCCTGATTTATTGCAAAAACTAGCTGCTTAGGAATATTAGGATGAACAGGTATTAATCGTAAAATATAAAAGTTTCTATATTCTCAAGAAATTCTTTATGTAACTAAATCCTAAAAAAAACTAAATCTTAAAAATTTAACGTCCGATTTCGTACAATATACCAAGTGAAAACACTAAAACAGTATTCGCCACTTCCATTCTACAATAAATATGTGTGAATAAAAATGAACAGTCGTTTGATTGAACAAACAAAAATTAAAAGAATCGGGACTATTTATAAACAATAAAATCAAATTGCACGTTATCCACGACATTGTGTCCTAATTATCAAATATGCAGTGAACATTACAAGGCATTACGAAATTGCTCAATATCTGAAATAACTATTGTTTAGGGGATATTAAACCTCGATGGACAACACTTATGCTCTTACTAAAGTTAAGGGAAATGCCCTAAAATATATCATTTTTACGGAACATCACATTTTCTTCATAAGACCAGGTGACTTAATATTTATGACCAATCCTGTATATACACACATAATTAAATTAAAAACAAGAAACCACGTGTTTGGCAGTTAATTTCGTCATCTGTTTCGGGGCCTCTGCTTCGAGGTCAACTTGGTCGACCAGGCGCGAAGGGGGCCCCCGAGGACAAAATAAAAGCCATTATACACACATATATATATATATATATATATGTACATATGTATATATATTTATCTCGATAACGCCGACAGCGAAATATTAAACATATTAAAAAAGTCGTCCCGGTCGGGTTCATCGGACCGAACAGATGGCCGCGCGTTATCGATCATTCGGATCTACTGGTCTCGAGTTTCGCGGATCGAGCCGGGGACCGATCCACGAGGATTCGGTCCCGATTCGCGGGCGGAACGTGTGTGCAGCTACCGTGCTTGAACGAGCGCGTGGGCCGGGGACACGCGTGGGCGTGTTCACGGTTTCGTGGTTTCGCCCACGTACCGCGGTTTTTCTTTCGGTCCCCGGTAGCAGGCCGCCGAAGTCGGGCCCCCCCCTCTCCGTTCCCTGGATAGGCCTCGGGACCGAGGGGATCCCTAACCTCGCAACGATTTACACAGTGTGTCGATAAAGTTCGGTGACTGGTCCGAAAAAATGAGAATTCCATTGGTGATTCGGAAAAATCGGTGTACTTGCCCTTTAAAATACAGTAGACTCGCGATAATTACCCGCATTGGGGGGCTCTAAAGACGGGCAGTTTTAGGGAACGGGGGATTATCGAGAGCCAATGTCATTCGAACAATTATTGGAGGCAGAAGGGGACAGAGAGTGGTAAGTGTAAGTACCTACAGTAAATCATCGATGAGTGTTCGAAGGCTCCTTGGCAGTGAGTTTTCCTTTCTACAAATTCTAGGAAAATTTCTCGAACATCGTTATGAATTATTGCATAGAAACTACCGTGGACGGTTTACCGATCGGCGGTTGGCTGTTCGAAGGGGTTCCAGTTTTGTTTACATGTGCGTACAATAGAGAACTACAGAACGATATCGCGTATTATCGATTTGACACGAGAATAATACGATCGACCGGGTCACGTTACTTATTCTAGTCCACGAAAGAACAAGTCAATTATCAAAACAACTCATTGTCTTGGGGACACTTGCGCGTCGACACCGCCGGATGTACTAGATTCTAATAAGTGAAAGTAGAATCGTTGAAACGCTCCTCTGCACGTGATGAAAAAATTTACGAAACACTTGCATGTTAATCGTAATGTTGGTGTCATCTTGCAAATACTATCCATAACAATAGCATCACACATATCCCACTGATAAGATATAATATCAAAGAATAAGAATTTCACAAACTTATATTCTAGTTTTTCTAAAGGTTTATCGTCTGTGTAAAATGCTTCTGAGAATTCTTACATAATGTTTTTCATGAAAATTTTTTGATGTGATTCATTGAAAAACGAAAGTGTTAACGTGTTAATCACATGGAAAGCGTAGCCATTATCAGCGTCTTCGATACGATCATCAATTATTAACATCATTGTTGGTTTTATTTTTTCAGGGCTTAGACAGCAGCGGACGTCCAGCGTTCGTCCTCTACTTTCGCGTTCGTTACTACGTGGACACGCCGTTGCTCTTAAGGTGAGCCGTAATTTTAAGCCGAACAAACTTCACTTGCAACAACAATCATTCCAAAATCACCCGACCATCGTACCTCATCACCGTCGATCCTTTTTCCCCGAACCGTAATCTATAATACAATCGCGAGGAGGCCGAATCGTAAGCGCGAATAAAAATCCCGGTAGCCGCCTCGACCCGAACCGGCTGACAAATTACGCGCTGCAAAAGAGGCTGGCTCGACGCAGGAAGCCTAAATCAGTTGTGGACGGGTTCCAGCGATCGGACGGGCAACCGAATGGATCGCAGAATCGATCGAAGTAATTAGCGTTCCCCTTCAAATACAACCCTGGGCCCATCGTCCCTTTTCTAGCCATGACACGTCACGATTATAAGGGTTACTTCTTCTTGCCTCGTAAACGCCCTAAGAGAGAAACAGAAATATTCGGATGACACTCCAAAAATCGTTCGAATTTAAATCGAAGCAAGTTGCGAGGTTAACACATTGTGAATCTGCATCTTTTCTGTGTGAATTTGAATATATTCATGCGTATATTACCTACATAATTTCCGATAATATGTGGCAATTGAAGCTATATACATTAGACAGCATACCGTCAACAATGTATTCACTAAAGATCTCGAAAGACCCGGTTAAAAATGGATCAGATGTCCTAGGATCGAACACACTCTGCACGCGAAGCAATTGAAACGAAATCGCTCAACAGAGCGCAGCGAACACTTTTGGGCGTGGTTGTAATGAAAGAACGCGAATGGAATCGTTGGAGATTGGAAGATGAAGGGGGGATTTAGGGAGTAGGAGCCGCGATTCGGTGGTCGAGGACGATTAACAGGGGACAAGAGAGGCGGGGTTGGCCGCGACGTGGGGCCGAGGGAGACAAGCAAAGGGTGGATCTCCCTCCACGAAACGGAATCCGGACTCCTGTCCCGGTAGCTAAGTGCTACCTACCGGTGTAATTATAAATTATTACGTGGCGCGTGATAGATAGACCGCGCGCATTAAATGAAAGCACTCCGTCCCGGTAATTATACTGATCCGCGAGTTGCTCTCTGATTTCCACCCGAAACCGGTGATTTACATCGGGAGGGCCTGGACCGTGTTTCGGCCCGGCACGTCCACGTCGACGAGGGTTTAATTCGTGAAAGGGACCCGCGGCTGGCTCGACTCCCCGATGCCTCGGCTCCCTGGTACGTACACAACGGATTTCGTTGATCCTCTTGCGTTCGATCGTCGATTTGTTAGTACAGACATCTTTCGATTATTGTCCCGAACTCGGGTCTGTGCCGGGACAATAATCTTATAGGGAGAAATGCTTCAGACCCTCGTAAATTCGTATTTTGCTCGACGTCTGAGCCTCGGCAACAAAAATGGAGGAGCAACAAAGTATGCGTTTGACAGATTCCACCCCTCCCTTCTCAGTGGTGGGGATAGTGCCTGGACAATAATCGTGTAGCACAAGCCAGACGATAATCGAGAGGTGTCTGCATATTTCATGTCTTCTGATGGAACCTCGATCACACGAAATAGAGCTTGCTCGCGGATAGTCTGTAGCCACGTACAATTGACGGTTGTAGGTAGGGTTAGTGGAATAGGGCAGAGAAACGAAGGAAATAGTTATGAATGTAAACGGTAGAGGGCTGCAACCATCTTTGTTTTGTAGCGGTTTTAATGAAAGATATGAGGAAGGAAAGAGGGAGAAAAGATGGGGAGCGTTTTGTCCTAGGCCTGCTAGTGTGGTAGAAAAACAAAAAATTTGTTTGAATTATGTAAATTCGTTTTCAGAGATTCTTTAACTAATTCCACGAGAGGGAGATCGAAACGCGACGATATATATTCACGGCGGACAGTTTCGTAATCGCGGCATGTTATTCCGTAAATTTATAGGGTCGGTTTTCTATTATTATGCACGGTATGTTATGCGAACTGTATCGAACGTGATTTTTCGTAATTCCGGTGGCCTCAACAGGTACATACGTCGTTTATCATTACGCAAAGTTGCATGACAGTGTGCCTTCCTACGCGACCGCCATCGGAATACGCTCGGTTTTCTGAAATCGGACCTGCAACGTAACTCGAAAGTCATTTGTATTCTTTTATAGGGATCATTTTTATCAAACAGGTTAATATTCGACAGAATAACATATTTTTTATCTTTACTTTATAAAGTATAATATAATATTGAATATTCAAAGATAGTAACAGTAAATATAATTCTTTTTCCATCTCATTAGTCGCCTTTCTACGTACAGTAAGTGCTTGATGAGTGTTCGGAGACTCCTCGACACTGAACATTAAATATTTTGTAGACTAACAACCATATGCGGCTGAAACAAATATTATTGGCTTCAAAATTCCAAGCTCTGTCACTGTGCTGAATTAAAAAGTCTCACTCATTGAGGATTTACTGTACTCCCGATATCAACATCTGTATTTACATTGTATTATAATATATTTCAGAGTATTATAAACAATATTTTCTCTCGAATAACGTGACAAGAAGAATGAACTATATAACATATTTCTATATTGTTAACAAAAAGATTTTCTCAACAGAACAATTTTACCAAAAAAAAAAAATATGTAACTCTTCCCCCGTTTGAAGACCAACAAAAATCGAGTGTACGTGCACAGTCTGCGCGAATAATTCATACCGCCCAGACCATAGATTGCAGTACCGCAAACGGCACGAATCATTTCTGCGACACCACGTCGCGTGTATACCAGCCCGAAGTCCTACAGCAATTCGCACTTAATGACTCGGAATCCAGCGCGATTGAGTTATATAACGGCGCACGAATATCGCAAGACATCGTGATTCGGTTCGCGCGAAGGAATGTCTTTATAAGAACGTCGACCGTAGACATAACAAAGGTCTCGATCGAGGAACGCGTTTGCCGTTAAGGCGGGGTTCGGGGTAAAGGGTGGGAGAAGAGACGAGGATGAGGAGGGGTGGGGAGGGGAACAAAAAAAAATTCTCATCTCTTGGGAAGCACGGGATTTAATTATTCACGAGTCACGATACGATTCATTATATATCGACGAGCGTGTCGAGAACACTCGAGAGAGAACCATTCACCGAACCACCGTCGATCGATCCGCGATCTCCCCCCCGCTCGATCCAACCGTGAGAAGCATATCTCACCAGAAATGGCAAGGTTATTATTATTAATTATGCGAATGAGGTTTTTCGCGATTCGCCGCGCTATCCGTTACACGACGACGCGTGGAGGCTGTTCCAAGAATATACCGGACGATCGGTAAAAAACATTCTGACTGCCTTCGAGGATCGCGGGCTAGATCATGGGCGATACGCACTCATATTTATTCGAAATCATTTTTCTTCGTTCCGAATAAATACAACGATCGCAAGAAATTTGAAAACGTCTCCGATGCTGCGTTTTCAATATGGCGGACAATGAGACGATCGATGAAGCATTGATGGAAGGAAAGTTAATCAGAGATTCGGTTGGTTTATTGTGAAAAAAAAAAAAAAAACGCTTGAACACGTCTCGTGAGCCAGTCTCACAGTCGTCACATCACGTAAACAATCTTTTTGTCCGATTTCGCGATGAGGGACAATAATGATTCAATTGTTTCAGCGATGAGACGACGTCTCTGCTCACGCTCGCGGGTCTCGCCCTACAAGCCGATCTCGGAGACTATTCCGAGGAACGGCACAGGCCACACGCAGGATCTGTGGGATACTGCAAGCCCACGGATTACCTACCGCCTCACGTAAGTCCCTTAATTTATACCGAATGCCCATGGAAACGACCGAAGTTGTCATTACCGTGGAACCTTCAAACACTCATCGAGGATTTCCTGTATATGTGGATAATTTGAAAGTTCCATAAGCAGTTCGTCGAGAAATTATTTTGTGGTCCAGTGAATAGGAGTATCCTAAACCGATTAAATGTGTAATCGATGATATCGTGGTTCAGATGTGCCTCGAGTCGAATGTGCTCGCCGTGCTCGCAGCTCAGCACAGGGACAACCGGGGCCTGTCCAGGGAGGAGGCAGAACTGCAATACATCCGAGAGGCGGTGCTGCTGGAGGCGCCGCTCAACGCTCACCTCTATCGACTTCGAAGAAGCAAGAACGAGGCCGGCCCGGGACGCATACTCCTCGCGATATGTGCTCGCGGAGTGCGAGTATACGCCGAGGAGGAGACGCCGCGCGTCTTCGCCTGGAACAACATTGGCAAGCTTTGCTTCGACGTCAGTTCCCGTAAACTTTACCAATTAGAAAAGTCTTTCGTTCGTTCCCTCTCACCGACATCTGATCATTAGACTGCGGATTTTTATGCGAAATAACATTTTCTAAAGTAATTTATGAAGATAGAAGAAAATGCAGAAATTTATTTTACCTCTTAGGTATGTTATTGGGTTCAGAATAAAGTAGAAAACTAGTTGGATCCGATGAAAGTTTTGTTTTTTATTGTACTTCACAGAGACCTATGGTATAAATGCATAAAATCCGCAGTCTACTGATCACAGTGATCACTGAATCGGTCTCCCTGCCTCGAATGTGATACTCATGAAACTTAATTGTTTTTCTGTTCGGTGTACTAAAGGTGTACCGAGAAATACAACCATTAGTACCTTACCTGTCATGAAAGAAAACTAATAGGAACTTGATTTATTGTAGTATTCGTTCGCTTTTTAAATTCAGAAATTAAGTTTATTGGGTACCGATAGGCTGTCACGGGATATCGAAAGACTTTTCTGATACCCTTATGAACGAGATCGTGTTTGAATATATGCGTAACTTTGTGTAACATCCACGATGTAGCGCAAGAAGTTCGAGATACGGGCCGTCGATCAGCCGGACAAGCTCACACTATACAGCGGATGCGATGACAAAAGCAAGCTACTCCTGGGGCTGTGCCGGGACACTCACCAGTTCTCCATGGCCATAGCGCCCAGAGTGAACGAAGCGAAGAGGCGCGAGGAAGAAGGTGAGATTAATTTCCCCTTGCAAACTGGACCAATCTATTTACCATGTCAATATCCCCGTTTGTAAAGTGTGTCGCGAATCAAGAAAGTTCAGTATTTCATTTAGAATTTTATTCGAATAATACACTACCAGCCAAAAGTATGGGACCAGAGATTATAATCGATGGAACAATTAACTCATTATTTGATTACGATATAACAAAAGTTACGGAATGAGTACATCGAATGTCATTTCCAATTAGGTTTACCCGGCCATCAGTATCAATTTTCGGGTATTAATCCAGGTTTCACTGTATAACCATTTTATGTCCCGTTTCAAATATCTGTTTCTGTTTGTGATCACAGAAAGGAAGGTACTCCGGGACTGCTACATGTATCCAGCCCGTTGCAAGCTAAGCTTGACGGGTCGCGGAGCACGGGGTGACCAACGAATTTCCGTTATCTCGAGCACGTCGTCGAACACAACTTCCGGAATTGTCAGCGACCGGGTGCACAGCGAGGACGAACCGGACACGGCGCCCGCCTCGACAGAGTGTTTGCCCCGTCTTACCGAGACTACATCGCACTCGAACATTCCGTGCGGCGTTGTGAACGGGACGAACGCGGACGTCGAAGATCGTTCCTTGCCGTCGTCGCCGGTCACCACGGTGGATGGTAGGTTCAGAACAACCACCGATATCTTAACGCTTGGTGTATCGAGAAACGATACACAAAGTTTTTAACCCTTTCGATGTTCATGTCGAGTATACTCGTCATGAAAAGATGGCATCTGTTTTGTTTAATGACGACTATACTTGTCATTAAGTAAACAAAAAATTGCATTTGCTACTTGATATAAAATTTAGGTAAAACGAAAAACATATCGTAATTTTGACACATTTTAGAATATTTTCTAGAAAACGCAAAAAAATCACTAGAAAAAGTATGTAGCAGTACCTATACATATGTACGAGGGTTGTTTGATGAGACACTGACTTTTTTGGGTAATAGATAACGATCGTATAATTTTCAGAAGTCGACGGCGCAGATAGCACGCCCGCGACGGCCGCATTAAGATTGGCGTCGAGCGCGGCGACGGCCGCCGAGGGGTCACAATGTAGCAGCAGCTGCAGCACGGTCGTGGTCGTGAACACACCTGCTGGTGGACCGCCGAGGATCCGTCGAACTTCGGCGACGTCCAGTCTAGAGCTAGGCTATTCCCATACGGCACAGAATTCTGCGGTTTCCTCGGAAACCGCCAGCTTTCCTGGCGCCATTTACGACAGGTGCAAGAAAGGTGGCAAATACGCAGGTGAGAGATCGCGTTTCGCGGATTCGTAGAGCCATTCGATTTAACCTTTAATCCATAGAACACTGTAATAAGACGTACCAAATTTCGCTTCCAGGCACGGACATAGCAAGCGAAACCAGCGGGGTGTACACCCTGAGAAGCAGCGAAATGCAAGACGAAAGAATAGGCGACCTATATTCCCCGACAGGGGACGCGAACGAGTCTTCCGCGGCGAGTGACGTGTGCGCTTTGAGCTCCGTCCAATCAACGACCGACGAGGCTTCGGTAACATCCGGCTTCTATACTATACACAGTGGTCTTAGATCCGAGACGAGCGATGTATACACAGAAGACGCTAGCGCCGAGGACCAGGAACCAATTTATAGTGTGTGTAAGGGTGACGAGGATGTCTCTAACGTGGTCGCCACAATGACGGCGGTCACCCTGGATCAACAACTCGAGGATTCCAGATCACGTAGTAATAGTATACTGAGCGCGGGAAGCTTCAGAGGGGATGGTAGCGATCCTTCCAGCGTGGGACCCTTGTTATCGGCCGACGAGCTATCAGATCTAATCGTCGGGCGTTATCCACCTCGGAAGACTATCAGCAATTCCATGGATTCTGATTGCGACTACGTTACCATGCCACCACCGCCACCGCCACCTAGGACAGATAGCGACAGACAGCTTCCCCCGCCTCCTCCCTATCCAGTGAGCATGGACTACGCGACGATAAACTCGTCGAGATCCAAGATACCGGATATCGAAAGAGAACCACCGCCACCGCCACCGTACAACGCGACCCGAGGGGAATTTGTTCCCCTGCCACCGAGAAGGACCGATCCGCCTCCACCTCCACCCTACACATCGCCCAGAGAAAGAATTCAAATACCACCACCGACACCGCCTAGAAACGACGCTGTGACGCCCAGAGAACCACCGCCTCCGCCGCCGTATCCGGAAGTTTCAGAGGTCACTCGGCAAGAAGCGATTTCCACTCTCTATCCAGCCGCCACCGAGGAGATCGTCTCGAGGGTGACGTCGACGAAGATCCAGACCAGCCTGGCGAACAGCAAGACGAACGTCAGTATGACGTCGTCGAAGACCACCACCGGCCAACCGACCAATGACGTTCCATCGATTGCCCCGAAACCACCGCCGAGAATTCAACCGCCCACCTATCCCGGTGACAAAATGAAACCCACGCCGGTCCATGCTCCAGTCGCCGCTCTCGTTGTCGGGCCGAACAATTACCTGGACGTGCACGCATCACGAGGTGGTCCGGTTTTGTTGCCTTACTTAACACCACCGCCTCCCCCGCCACCCCCTCCGCCACCCATGGTACATCCCAGACAACCCCCGCCGCCGCCGCCTAGCCTGGCCACCGTTTACACCAGCCAAGTGGCCAGGTCACAGATCGAACAGTACAAGCAGCAGCTCTATTCCGATGTCGATTACGTTATGTTCCCGCTGAAAGATCCCGCAGTCTCCAAGCAAGAGTACATCGACGCGAAGCAAGGCTCGCTTCTTGCCGCGATGGCTGCCTATCCCCCTCCGCCTTATCCCTCGTTTAACAACAAATCGCTGGTAATGTACCGTAGCACGCCTTACCTACCCGGTTCATCATTCTCCTCGCCGTCGAAATACGCTTCGAACCAGAACCTTAGTAGCAGCGACACGAGTTCTAACAATTACTTACCGCATAGTAACCTGAGCAGCCACTACGCTGCCAGCACGAGCTCGCTATATAGTGGGGCTACTTGTTCGTCGGCAGGAAGTCAGAGTCTTAGACGGGAACCGCCAGCCCCGGCGCATCCGCACACTCTGCACACGTTCTCCAGGACCAGAAGCGACGAGAACATTTTAAAGTGTTTCGACACGCCTTCCAGCATGAAGCTGCAGTCCCTGCCGCAGCTCAAGCATCGCAGGCTACCACCACCACCCCCGCCGCCACCTTATGAAATACAGGTATGGTGTATTGTCCCAGCATTGTTGACAGAACCATCGATTCCCAAATGAACTCTCAAAGCCAGCGGCTCATTGTGACAAGGCTGGCAGATTCTAACCTTTTGAACTATATCACTAACAAAAGCTTCAACTAAATCTAAGTCATCAGTTTGGAAAAATGTTTCCCTGTTAGTCAATTCGAAGCTGTTAAATTCACAATCTTACAGCTACTTCTGCCTTTAGTCATCACTACCGAGGCTTCCTGACCTAAACCGCGTTGTCCTGGAAAAATTATTCCCCAAACAGACCTCTTAACATGTCCACACTCCTTGAATGAAAAGTCCCTCGAGAAATTTGTGTTTATACCCTGTACGTGTCCGGTTCTAGAATCTCGAGAAGAATCAGCCGCTCCCGTCGGCCTCTTCCTCATCCACCTCGCCCAAGAAGACGTCGAAGACAAGCAGCACCACGGAGGAACACGAAGAGGGAAAAGAGGACGGAATGCTGGACATACGAACGCTACGGGAGAAAAGCCGTAATTTGGATCTGCCGTTGATATCGGCGTTGTGCAACGATCGGTATCTGCTGAAGCAGACGAAAGCGTTCGTGATGCCGAAGCATCCGACCGAGGCGACATCGTCGACGTCCGCGAAGAACGGTACGAGAAGCAGCAACGGCGGCACGTCGAACAGAAATAAGTATCCAGTGAGCGGCCTGTCGACAACCCAGATCACGAAACCACCGAGAAAATCGTCGACGAGCACGCACAGACACCCGGCCGAGGTGAAGGGCAACGCTTACAAGGTCACTAATCCCGCAGGCGTATCCGCTGCGAAAAAGGAGCCGACTAGGGCGTCGCATTCCTAACATACAGTCCCGGGATATGACCCTCTGACATTCTGGAGTTCCATGCCTTCGACGAAAGTACATTCCAATAACTCCCTCAACGATTCCAAGACAGTTTCACTTTTCGCACGGTAGACAACGGCAAAAGAAAAGATTCCGATAACACAATCGGGACAAGAAAAGAATCGACTCGAAGTACCTTCCACCACTCGTCCTAGTAGACGGATGCTTCCACTCTCTTTTGGCAGAGGAGTTCAGCAATGAGACTAAATCTCGTCACAGATTCTACAGAAATTCGAATAGGTAAAACGCCTGTTTAATCAGTACGTTCGCAGGTTTGTCCTATCTTATATACTATGATGTCCTGTGGTGTAATAGGACGCCTTGAAAATGTGTCCTTTAGCTGTTTATGGCACTGCAATGTTCAAGGTCACGGAAGAAATAAAACTGTGCCTTAGTTACTATTTTAAAAATAAAAAAGGAAGTTGATGCTTCGTTTCGAACCTCCTGTGACCTGGAACATTGATTTAAGACTTGATTGTTTGATGTATAACAAAATGTTACAACAGAAGGATAGTATTTCATTTTAAAAATGCTTGACCTAATAGTGAATTTAAAGAATAAGAACAGTGATCAAATCGTAACTTTAGAAAGTCTAGAGATTGTGTATCGGTACCATTCTGATGGATAGCAATTTGTAGAGCATTTCAGAGTAGCCACGTTTCTATGTAATTAACGGGGATGGAGGTAAACAATGTTTCTTTTAGCATAAGATTGAGAATGTGTACTTTCTCGTGGACTTCCCCTACCACTCAAGTCGATTCTTTCTTCGACCCGACTATAAGTACTTAAATGCTGTACTTTTTTTTTCTTTTAAAGACCGTGCTTCTTCAACTCAGGGTGCCATTTTATCATTTACAATATTTCCGCTCGTCGCGAATACCTAAAAGTACGACGAGACTAGGTTACATTTCGTCTCGACGATGAATAATTACAACTTACGGATCACTCGTAATGCTAATTAAGGAGAAGCAATGACGTTTATTATATCGTTTTTATTTCATCTATATGATCTCTCTGATACTCCTGAAACGAAAATTGTATTCTTCCTCTGCGAACGAAGCTTCTTCTCGCGCATAGAATAGTAGAAACACCGACATAATTTAAAATGTCCATTAACTTCTTCTGTTGCTCAAGCAAACGGTCAGCGTGATCGGTGAACAAAATACAAACGCGGAAAAGTAATTTGAACGCGAATCCTAGTAACAAAAAGCGCCGAAACGCTCTTACGAATTGTACTCGCTGGTAAGAGCCAAAACGATCTTTCTAGGCACTAATCGCACAGTATCTTTATACACCGAGAGATGGCAGATACGACTACTGTTAATTAGAGACGTGTTAGTACCTAACGATGTCTACGGAAGTAATATTTATTACCATCCACGTTTTTTGTCTTTGTACTTTCCTTCTTTTTTTTTTTTAATATCTTTCAATCAGTGCTCCCGCTTTATGATACTTTTTATCGAAGCGTTTTTAAGCATTCGCGTGTACGTGACTGTACGTGTAGTCGCCGGTTCAGTCCGCGGTCCGTCGAAGATATCACACCGCGCGGTTGTTGGGAAGCTGGTGGGCGTTCAGGTATTCGTCCCAAAACGGATATCGACAACTTCGTCGAGTGAACATTGTTACGGGACAATGTAAAAGATTGGGCGAATTTAATAACTGGCGACTGCACCATACAGAACACGCGTAACAGTTACAATTGTAAAAGATCCGCGTGGACAACGCGGACCTTGCGAACATTAATCATAGATCATAGTGTAATGGGTAATGATTTAGCCGTAACGTTGACTTATGTTAATTAATACTAGATATTAATAATTGCAACACGAACCATGTCTGTACATAGTATTGCGTGAAATTATAGGACTTGTTGTAGTCGGAAACCTCATGTATGTACCACGCGCCACCTCAGCTACGAATAATAAACTTTTTTTTTATAATGAAAGTTGTTACGAAACGCTGTTTCGGGACAATACCTTACTGTTCTGCATGTTTACAAACAAATTGTCATTAAATTTTGTTTGAAAAAATGGGACAATCGTTTGAGATCTATTAGTAAATCTGTTAAATATTGTAGTACTTATCACCAAAATATTGTGAGAATGGGGGATTATTTTTTTAAACCAATGAATTTGTGTAGACAATTTCCCTTACAGACGAATTGCCTGCGGGCAAGTTGAATATAAAACAAACGCGAACACTGGTCTGTCAATAGTTGTCTACGCTTCGGTTACTGCTGAAGGCTTTTTCTTGCTCATAGTCAGTGAATCGTATACCTGCGATTAGCCCACGGACACTGACCCTCATAAAACGGAAAAACAGACGAAGAGCCATTAGCTCGATATTATCTTTGGTTTATAATACTTTACCGATGATAATACCGATTGCCCGGGCCTCACCACAAGGAGGTTGTTGCGAATGGAGGCTCAAGGCAGATAGATGGAATCACAAATTCTGCACCTATTCCCCTTTCACAATAAACCTTACAAATAACTTAAACCTCAATTATCTAATACTATCGGTATTAAAATCCCTTGGCAGATGAGTTCTTTTTTCAGCCTAAATCTATAAAAAAAGTTCCCTCGTCGGACGTCTTCGGTCTTCAGCTTAGAACTAATATTATCTTAATAGGCTATTTATGCCTCTATTACCGTAGCCCCTTATGGGGCGGCAACCCTACTTGCACCAGACTTCGATTACATTTACACCGCTGAGCGGGCATCATTTTTCTTCCTCATGCATTAAATTCGAAGATTACAGAACGTAGAATAATACCCTCTAACGGCTGGGAACCAGTAATTACAAGAACATTGTTAAAATTACATTTATTTGAAACGGTTGACACTGTATCTCGTCATGCGTACCCCGTTTAGTTCACTTTAGACAGCTCTAACACCGTTATACGGATAGCTTTCGTCTAGATAAAGCACTCGATTTGTAGCTGAAAGAACGTAGATTAATCCCCTGCCATTGACAATAACAATAAATGTCCAGAACATTGTCAAAATCGCATTTAATTACGGATTACCACTATTTTTTCGACCGGTGGCGCCACCCGTGGCAATTCGCTCAAACTACTAGCCAAATCATACCGATCGGTGAGTGAAAATTCCTAGTGATGGAAAAAAGCGAATATCTCAGTAATTATGTACTTAAAATGAACGTTATTAGTCTCAAATTGTCCGTCAGGACTTAATGCATGGACTCAATAGTGCAGAATCCCTGAATTAGTAAAATTAGTTTTGCCTGTATTATCGTAGCCCCTCATGGGGCGGCAACTCTACTTGCAGCAGATTTCGATTACATTTACACCGCTGAGCGGGCATCATTTTTGTTCCTCATGCATTAAATTCGAAGATTACAGAACGTAGAATAATACCCTCTAACGGCTGGGATCCAGTAATTACAAGAACATTGTTAAAATTACATTTATTTGAAACGGTTGACACTGTATCTCGTCATGCGTACCCCGTTTAGTTCACTTTAGAAAGCTCTAACACCGTTATACGGATAGCTTTCGTTTAGCTGAAGCACTCAATTTGTAGCTGAAAGAACGTAAATTAATCTCCTGTCATTGAAAATAGCAATAAACGACCAGAACACTGTTAAAACCGCATTTAATTGTGGAATACCACTATTCTTTTGAATGGTGGCGCCACCCGTGGCGAATCGCTGAAACTGTTAGCCATATAATTAGCTAACAGTTTCAGCGATTCACGACGGATGGCGCCACCGGTCAAGAAAATAGTGGTATTCCACAATTAAATGCGATTTTAACAGTGTTCTGGACGTTTATTGTTATTTTCAATGACAGGAGATTAATCTACGTTCTTTTATCTTCAAACTGAATGATTGATCAAGACGTAACTTGTCCATAGAACGTTGGAAGAGCTATTTAAAGTGAACTAAACGGGGTACGCATCGCGAGATAGAGTGTCAACCGTTGCAAACAATTGAGATTTTAAGAATGTTCTTGTAATTACTGGTTCCTACCTGCCAGAGAGTACTAATCTGCGTTCTTTAAACTTCAAATGTAATCCATGACGAGGAAAACTGATGCCTGTTTAGCAGTGTAAATCCGATCGAAAACTGTTGCAATTATATAACCACTAAAGATGCAACATTTTCCTTCGTCATGCATTACATTCGAAGTTTAAAGAATGTAGATTAGTACCCTATAACGGCTGATTCGTCTTGACCAAGCACTCAACTTTTAGCTGAAAGAACGTAGATTAATCTCCTGTCAATGGCAATAACAATAAACGACCAGAACACTGTTAAAATCACAATTTATTTGCAACGGTTGACACTGTATCTCGTCACGCGTACCCCGTTTACTTCACTTTGGACAACTCTTACAGCGTTATACTAACAGATTTCGTCTTGACCAAGCATTCTATTTGTAGCTTAAAGAACGTAGATTAATCCCCTGTTATTGAAAATAATAGTGAGTGAACAGAACACTGTCAAAATCGCATTTAATCTCTGAGTACCACTATTTTTTTGACCGGTGGCGCCATCCGTGGCGAATCGCTGAAACTGTTAGCCCATTCTATGGCTAACAGTTTTAGCGATTCGCCACGGGTGGCGCCACCGTTCAAAAATATAGTGGTATTCCGCAATTACATGCGATTTTAACAGTGTCTGGTCGTTTATTGTTATTGTCAATGGCAGGGGATTAATCTACGTTCTTTCACCTACAAATCGAGTGCTTTATCTAGACGAGAGCTATCCGGATAACGGTGTAAGATCTGTCTAAAGTGAACTAAACGGGGTACACATGACGAGATACAATGTCAACCGTTGCAAATAAATGTAATTTTAACAATATTCTTGTAATTACTGGTTCCCAGCCGTTAGAGAGTATTATTCTACGTTCTTTAATCTTCGAATTTAATGCATGACGAAGAAAAATGATGCCCGTTCTCATCAGTACTACATAGTTTGTAACTTCGTTTATGAAAATACAAATTCCAGTCTTCTCGCGCCACATGTCTAGGGCAGTTCTGTCCTGAACATACGCACAGAACGTAATTAAAATAATTTAAATAAAATAATTAATATTTCTTATTTCTCATAAATACTAAGACGGGGTTGTTATTTAATAATTTATGATAAAATACTAATTATTCATTTATAAAGCTTCTCGAATAATTTTCTAAAACATTCAAAGTACTAGACATTTTTACACTTTGAATCTCATATCGATTTCTAAAATAATCCTAGTTCGATGTAATATAGAACGTGGTTTTATGAGATAGATTTGAAGTTCGCAGCCATTAGCTCGGTATTGTCTTCAGTTTACAGTACTTTACCGATGACAATACCGATTGCCCAGGCCTCACCACGAGGAGGTTGCTGCGAGTGGAGGCCCAAGGCAGGTAGATGGAATCACAAGTTCCACATCTACCCACCTTTCACAATAAACCTTATAAATAACTAAAATCTTAACTATCTAATACTATCGCTACTAAAATCCCTCGGCGGATGACTTCTTTCTTCAGCCTAAACCTATAAAAAACTAAGTTCCCTCGTCGGTTGTCTTCGTTCTTCAGCTTAGAACTAATATTATCTTAATATTCTAATTAATACGAATTAATGCTATTAATACGAAATAACTTAAACTAAACGCAACGTAGTCGCTAATACTCAAACGAAAGAGATAGACGGAATGGAAAAAGTTCCATCGATCATTTCGTTTACGCACCTAATATACCAAGCCAAAAATTAATTCTACGATGAACCACGTTAAACTACAGTATGAACAAGTATCGCGATGAAAGTGTTGTCGCCAGAACCTGGTTTAAGAAAATAGGAAAGACGGGCGCAACCTCGCAAACCCGAATCCATCTCTCACTTTCCAGGCCCTTTGGGCTGGTCACCTACGTACCAGACCCGAGCACAGGTCATGACCAAGTATGGTAGTGCAAGCGAGATCCCCTGTAAAACAGAGTCCTTTTACGGAGCAGACTCCCGACTACCCCGTAGGCGGGCACATTGTACCCAGGCGCGCACGAGCCTTTACTCCAAATCCTACTGCCAGGCAAAGACTAAACACGTCCGATATCTGGCTTCTCAATAGAAACCAGAGGGATCGGCAAACAGTCTTAGTGCACAGGCCCACTGCCCGTACCATAATAGGTACAGACCCACTGCCCATACCCCAAGTCTGTGTAGAGAAATCAACGAGCAAAATGAATTAATAATAACTTGGTATGCACAATGGCTGATCACAATTTAAGTCTATTAATAGATAGACTAAAATTAATAATAAACGATGTGATGATGAATATGAATATAACAATGAATATCGAATTATGATTTAAGTTTAACTTACAGTAACTTAACGCAGTGGTAGACGCACGCTTTGAAGATGTAGACGTTGATCGATGTCTTCTTTCGATGGAATAACTGTTTGGAAAAATATTTTTCATTATACAATACACATAGAATACATAATATGCACAGTAAATAAATCACAGTAAATAAGAAAATAAATATCGAAGCCAATGGTTCTCGAACATCTGTAACATACAAGGGATTAGTAACAAGAGAGGGGACACAACAATATGCACAGTAAATAGATTAATAATATGCACAGTAAATAAATTAATAATATGCACAGTAAATAAATTGATGGTTGTCGAATGCCTGCAACAAACAATGGGTTAGTAACAAGAGAAAGGACGAGTATGAGACGCGCGACCACCCTCCGCGACGGTTCACGAGAAAGTGAGGAAGCAAGCACAGACCTGCACGGGATGGTACGACCTTGGTACACGGCGTACACGGCTAAGTCAATAAACTGGGTGACGCAACTCACTAGCGCGTTGGATCGACGGAGAGCACCGATACTCGGCACGCTCTACCGTACTCTCTCGCTCGCACACCTTCCCCCATAGACGGCCGAAATTCCTAGGCGCGCGTCACATCGACGGAGAGCACCGATACTGTGGCTCGTTATACTGCTCTCGCTCGCACGCCGTGACGTCACCCGATTCCCGGAATCCCACGGCTACGAGATGGCTCATTACGGTAAGGCATTCCCGCAAGGGAAATTGTAAGCCGCCGGCCAAAAGGTAGATTTGATAAACTATTTATGAAACTACATCTATTCTGAATTTACCTATTACAAATATATAAATGTAAGGCAAGATATAAAAACGAATAAAACAAGAACATGTAAAAAGTAACATTAATAAAATGTCCATTAACGATGCATTTAGAATAAAATGTCTTGTAGTTAAGTGAAAAAATATATACTTTTCCGTTTAAAGCTCAAGGACTTACGATCGCAGTGAGCAAATTCACTCAAGATAAAATAATCGCAATCACGGTCGTGAATGAATTTAAATCACGACCGTGATCGTGATTCGGCGATCACTGTGATAAATCACCGTTAGTGATTTTGCACGCCATCTCTATATTAGATACACACATCATCTAGTAGCTAAGGTATAATATTAACTGGCTAGTTGCTTGAGAGTTATAGCGTTAGATAGCACCACGAATATTTTCCCAATGTATTTTTATATATGTACAAATATGAAAATAATTTAAATAACAACAATTAACAAGTACAAAGTAATTCGCCATGATTATGAGAATCTTCTGACACAATACAACAATTTATGATTAATTTATTGATATCAGTCATGAATACGTGACACATAACAAGTGATAACAAGTTATGTACTTGGAGCTTTTCTGGTAATTTCGAAAGCATGGCGACCGCTTTAAGATTGAGATGCGCGATTAAATTAGGAAAATCTCTTTCGAGACCGTTGAGTCGCAATTTTGAGAAAGAATTTTTAGAAAGACAGTGTCGGAGACTTTCAGGTTTGTATACTTTTATGCTATATCATATGTCAGTTTCATAATATCAATCGATCAGATTTTATGGGGTTATATGAATACATTTCTTGTTCACCTATTCTCTTTATCTTATAGTGCTCATATAAATACTTAACTATTGTTAAATTATGTATTTATTAACTGAATGGATATTAGGTTTTTAGTGAAGTCTTTCAATTATCTAAGTAATTGATTTTTACATAGTTACAGCAGGCAGTCCAATAAGATGTTACTCTTCTCAAACTGCAACTCAAACCACAGAGTATCACAATATCATAAAGGATACAGAGAAATCTACAGGTAGTATTGAAACTTCTTATACTTACATTACATGTGTTCTTAGTTATATTCTTGGTGCTACTTGGTGGTTGTTTCTTTTTAGGTGAAGGTATTAAACATGAATTTAAATCTGAAACACAGATGCTCTTAGAAATTGTTGCAAAGTCCTTGTATTCGGAAAAAGAGGTAAAATAATACTTTCATTTCATCAAATTTGTAGCAAAATCTAATATTTGACTTAGGATCATATTTTTTCATGATTTTATTGTTTGTTACTCTAAGGTATTTGTTCGTGAATTGATCTCCAATGCAAGTGATGCTCTTGAAAAACTAAGATATATGAGATTAAGTAACAGTGAGGTAGCAGAGGCTATTGGTGATAGAAGTTTAGAGATTCATATTGCTACTGATAAGCACAATAGAACACTTACTATTCAGGATACTGGAATTGGAATGACTCGCGAGGAATTGGTATCAAATTTGGGAACTATAGCCAGATCTGGTTCTAAAGTAAGAATACTTGAAGTGTTTTGAAATATTATACTAAGCATTCCTCAGAAACCTACATCCTTCATTCATGTCTTGTTCAGACACTGTTTTATGAATGCATACAAATGGAGAGAAATCGCGTAGTCTCGAGTTTTTCAGAAGTATGCGGCGGCTGTGTTGCCAATTTTAGCAGCCGCGTAGCGAAGTGTATCCAATTATATTAGAGTTCGTTAAACTAAAAATCGCGTGAATGTCTTAAAATAACGAGCGAAGAATTCCCATAAAAATATTAAAACATCATTAATTACAGGCTTTCTTAGAGAAATTGAAGGAGAAACAAGATGCTGGCGATACATCTCAAATTATCGGACAATTTGGCGTTGGTTTCTATAGTGCTTTCATGGTTGCTGATAAAGTGGAAGTATTCACCCAATCCTACAACAAGGATGCTGAAGGACTTTGTTGGTCTTCCGACGGGTAAAAATATATTTTATTGTTCATATAGGTCACTGTATACTCATATCTCAATGTTCCCTAATTTTGTATGTAGTTCAGGTACTTTTGAAATCTCAACAGCTGAAGGTGTCCAACCGGGAACGAAAATTGTAATTCATTTAAAACTTGATTCTCGTGAATTTAGCGATGAAACAATAATTAATCGTAAGTATATTAAATCACTCTTACTTTTCTTGAAGACTAACGTTTATTAATGTTTAATAGGTATTATCAATAAGTATAGCAACTTTGTTGGTAGTCCGATTTATGTTAATGGTAAAAGAGCTAACACAATTCAGGTACTTATGAAACTGTGTGATATTTATTTTTTTTTTTTTTTTGATATCATTATCATACTTATGACTTTGTGATCCGTTGAAATATATTATGTTACCTTATAAAGTGTACTTTCATGTTTCAGCCACTGTGGATGCTTGATGCAAAACATATTAAGCCTCTTCAACATGCGGAATTCTATAGATTTATTGGGAATTGTTTTGATTCTCCACGATTTACATTACATTACACTACCGATGTTCCATTGAGTATTAGAGCACTGTTATACTTCCCTGAAGAAAGACCAGGGTTGTTCGACCTGGCTAGGGACACATCCAGCGGAGTTTCTTTATATAGTCGTAAAATTCTAATAAAAAGTAAAGCAGAAAATATTTTACCGAAGTGGCTGCGTTTCGTTAAGGGTGTCGTTGATTCAGAAGATATTCCACTTAATCTGAGTCGAGAGTTGTTACAGAATAGTATTTTAATTGGGTATAAAACTAAAAATAACTTACCATTCATGTATAAATAGCCGAATTTAATTTTCTTATTTCTCTTAATTGTAGAAAATTGAGGAGTGTTTTAACAGCGCGCGTTTTGAAATTTTTAAATGAACGATCTCAAAAGCAGCCTGAAGACTATAACAAGTTCTATAGTGATTACGGTCTATTCTTGAAGGAAGGTGTAGTTACCAGCAATGACCAGAAGGAGAAGGTAATATTTTCTAAATAGCATAATGACCTTGTTTATTCTCACAGTTTCGCTTTATAGGAAGCAATAAGTAAACTTTTACGGTTCGAGTCATCTACAATGCCGGCAGGAGAATTAGTTACGTTATCAGATTATTGCAAGCGTATTCCCGAAGGTCAAAAGCACATATATTATTTATCTGCTCCAAGGTAAACAAATAATTCGAATCATCCGCATCAGTCATAAAATGTTTTGTCATTAGTTTTTCACATGATTTTATTTCAGTCGAACCTTAGCCATACAGTCACCATATTATGAATCTCTGAAAAAACGTAACGTGGAAGTATTGTTCTGTTACGAACAGTACGATGATCTAGTTTTAATGCATTTAAGACAGTTTAAGTCTTATTCCTTAACTTCTGTTGAAAAGGAAATGCGCGAAGAATCAGAGTCGGGTAAATCTGACAATCTTGGTGAGTAGGGTGAATCGTAACAATTTGTTAATGCTGTGAACTATAAGTAGTTTTAACATTTTCTTGAATTCATTTAGATGTTATCAATCAGGGAGAAATCAATAATCTTATTGGTTACATGAGAAACATTCTAACGAAAAAAGCATATGATATTAAAATAACTACTCGTCTTGAATCCCATCCATGTGTCGTCACCGTGAATGATATGTCGGCTGCGAGGCATTTTATTCGTACGCAAGCTCATCAAATGGACGACGAGACGCGATATTCTATTCTCCAGCCACGTTTTGAAATTAATCCGAAACATCCACTTATTAAGAAACTTTGTCAGTTGACAAAAACGGATACTAAATTGGCAGATCTTCTCATTCAGCAGGTACTTTTTGTTGTTACCATTTTATTTTACATGGACTTGTAACTAAATAATATTTTTGTCCATTCTATTTCAGTTGTTCACGAGTTGCATGGTTGGCGCCGGTTTAATTGATGATCCTCGAATATTATTAACACCAATGAATGAACTATTAACTTTAGCATTAGAAAAGTATTAATTTATAATTAATTGACGACATTGCCAGCTTTACTTGTCGATAAGTCACAAGCATTTTGTATAAATATTTACTTTGAATTAAACAATTGTTTCGTAATTCATAAGCTTTCCTTTTCTTTTAAAAGAACATACTGTGCAACAGATAATGTGTAATTACATATAGCTAAGTTCACAATGTATTTTATCAGACGCGTAGAAGAAAGGTAATCTACGAATTAATGTACCAATGTAGAACCGTAGGCAAGATTGTTTTCTTTATTACAATAGGTTGATCTTGTACAAATTAATTATAGCCTTATAATTATAACAAGTCAAGTTCCTCACTGTCTGAAAGATTCCATGATATCGATATGTATCCTATTAGCGGGGCTAAGTGTTTACGGTGAATTTGGAAGTTGTACCCACATAATGTTTTCTCTTTTTTTTTCCCTCGTTTTGTTCTCTATTTCCTCACAATTGTACAATTATGGCAAGTTCGTGATCGAGTGAGAAGTGAAACGGAACTATATATTAGTCTGTAAGTTATAATCAAGTACAAAAACGTTGATAAGTAGTTCGGAGAAATGAAAGAGGTAAACGCACGAAGAAAAAAAAAATGAAGTGTCGTATGTTTCTTCGATCAATTCCGATTGCTTGGATTGTTAATAAGATTTCAGTCACTAAATACACTACCCTTACGGGAAACGTTCCATTACAAAACTTATTGGTTAACATCACTAATCGATCAGAAGCCCTACAAAACATTGTGTGTTGTTTTCCTGGTTTTTACGACCAAATCATTTGTTCACCAGTAAAACCGATGGGCACGATGCGTTCTCGATCGTCGATTCGCAATAACGAAATAAACCTAAAAGTTAAAAAATCCGCTGTGCTTCGACATATACTGAAACTTTCACTGCTGGCTGATGTTCTTTCCCGATACAATTTGTTAAGTTAAAACTGTACAATATTCTTATTCTCATTCTAATATAGAATAAATTACCTAGTGTCAATTGTATCCGTGTGTCCGTGTCGCACTGAAATTTCAGATAGAGGAGGCACAGCTGTTCCGAACTTATGCAAGAACGAGACAATTTTTCGTTTCACACCTCTTGGTCGAACGCAAAGAAGTCACCCTGTTTCGCGTTATTCATTTAAACGTGGTTCACTCATTTATCCCACTAAAAATATAGAATTAAAACAAAAAAAAAAATGGCTAGCGTCCGTCGCCGGACAGGAACATAAGGAGAAAGTGAATTTGATGGGAAAATTCTACGCGTACAAAAAGAAAAAACAACGCAAAAAAGAAGTATACAATCTATATATATAAAAACTCGCGTACACTTCACCGAATCGTAAGCTGCCGCTAGATTACTTTAATAAAAAAGTATTCTCCATGGAAGTACACAGTGTTTAAAGAACATTTAGGCACGGAAATAAGTTTCTTGATCTTTTGTGTAGGCTACACAAATCAATCAATTGGAAATGCATTGTTTATAATATGGCATTTAACGATTGGCAGTTTAAGAAACATTTCGTTAGAATTAACGTGGACAGATTCAGAGGATGAAATAAATCGCGTGAGAACTATGAGTAGGTAATTGATGAGTTCGCGTGTGTTTTGCATCGCTGAGCAGTCTTATCAAAGAGTAGATAAAATGTTAAAGCGTGATGTATTTAGTAGCACCATGTATGCGGTTATGTTTCGTCGAACTGATGGTGACTGATAAAAGAATATGTAATTTCCAAGTGAATGATAAAAACGAGATTAAAGTATGAGAAAAACAAGATAAGAGAAAAAGGTTAAAGAACAAAAAGAAAGAAAAGAAACGGAAGTTGAACGAACGGAACGTTGACTTAGCTTACGTACATACGAGGGAGGAATACTGTCCTCCGTATCTTGCTTAATTTCTTCCCTTTTATAAAACGTTGGATAGTTAATATTACAATCATTATGATACAAGTCATAGTATTTGATCATCGTATAAACATTATTATCATCACAGTAAAAATATTCTCATTAATCTTTTTTCTTCTCATCTCCTTTTTAACTATCGTGCCTCGCTGCAGATAAACGCCGGCAGACATATGCACACATATATTTTCGCCCCTAGAAGCAGAGCAACTGTTTCATTTATATTTCTCGTTTCTTTCACTCGAGTCAATTTTTCATTTCAATTTACTCACTAGACTACGCTGTACTTATATTTTATAATAATTTAAGTAGTCCGTCGGTCCATCTCGTACATAACCAAAATAAAGTCGGTCAGTGAATAGTAAAAATACATAAATGTATGTACCTCTGTATGTACCATTCTTCCATTTTCTCTTTTGTTCTTTTTCATGTTCCTTCTTCCGTTTTTGTTTTTGTTTCGCACTGGAATCATAGTGTTGCGGATAAACGTTCCGAGTTTTAAACGATAAGTCATTAAATAATAGTCATTGGTCTGACGACGCGGTCGTGATTAACATTTACTCCGTCAAGCAACGAATTCCATTCTTAATTCGAGATAAACTCCTTATTCGTAATAGTTGCGCATAGGTTGCCGTAAATATAATATATCCATTTCACTAAACCTCATCCCCTTTGGTAGAATAAGAAAGATTCACGTTTCGCGGTTGAACGAATTCCTAGACACACGATGGTTCACGGCAGGAGAACTATCATTGAAACAAAATTCTGGAAATCTTGTACCAATCAATAGAAATACCTATGTTCCTTTTCATAACAAGAGCTTGTAACGGAAAACGGCGTCGGAAAAGAAGACCTTGCTCCCCGAAATTGCGTTCATTTTCGTGCTTGGCGCTCCATGGAATTTTTTCGAGGAATTAAGTACTTACGTCAGTACCTAAGCTCTACCTACATAGGAGATTTGAGGTACGATGTACCAGCATGGGAGCAAACGTACATCGTTGGCTCACAACGCGAGAGCCTACAGTTGCTCAGATTTAAAATTCTGATGAAATTTTCATCGGAAGTTCCCTGACCCGAAGTACAAATTCCATTCTGCAGAATACATAAAATATATAAAATCATATTTCTACTTCTTTAATTTGATAAAACTGTAGGATATGTTTTGGATGTAAAACAAAGTTTCATGTTAATATCAAAAGTTTCGACATCCACCATTTAACACGTTCTGTTCTGCTACATCTTATTTAAAAAATAGATATTGTCATCGAAATATTCTGCAGAATTTCGTCACTAGACCGTGAATTTTACGCAGTTATTGCGTTTGTTGCGTACATATAAAACACAATAAAATAGACTTCGATAAACTACAATAGAGTCTTCACGCTATTCTGAATTATTTCCCTCTAACTCCTCTTTTAAGCCAGTTCGTAAAGACATCATCCTGCGTAAACATCCCTAGTCCAGTCACCGAAGACAAGGTTGGACGTCCTCGAAAATATTCCATCAAAATCTAAAGCAGAATAACTGTGGGGTCACTTCACAAGTATGGCGAGTTCATACCGTCGGCTGTCCGCCATTTTTCTTTTATACTGTAGCTGCCTCTGTACACATTCTCTCTCATTCTCTCACTTTCTTTCTCTCTCTACCTATGCTGATAACGTGTATGTATGTACAAAAATTGTCGTAATATTCACAAAACATTCGCACTCGATAGTCTTCCCTCGAGAAGCACAGAATAACACGATCACGTTCAGTCAGTCGGCTCTGAAACGGCGCCATCACCACCACCACTGTATGTCACACCGAGGTCTGCGTGATACCGTTCCCCGACAACCACAGACGGCCGTTGCTCTTCTGCTCGGCGATCTCGTACTCGGAATCGTCGATCTCGCATAGATTCGTGGACAAATCGCTGTTGCTTGTCGCGCCACCTAGCAACGAGTTACGTTCCTCGAGGGTGGTGATCACCGAGCCGATCTCATCGGCGTCGTCGCCCTTGTGACATCGGTTCCGTCGGGTGCTCGGGAAACCATAAGGCACTACGTCGTCTTCCTCCTCGTCCGATTCGAGCGTGCTGAGACGACCGTTCAATGGATTCGTCTCGTTCTCCGTGTCCGTGTGGATGTTGTAATGCGGCAGATACGTGTTCGGATGACGGAGATAACTCTCGGAACCTTTGTATTTGTATTCACCCTCGCCGCCGCTGTCCAACGGGTTCAAACGTTGCGTTTCCGTGCAGTGATATTGCTCCGAGAACTCGGTCCCGCATTCCGAGTCACCGACATACTCGGACTCTTGGTCTTCGTTCAGGGTTTCGATGTCCCTCGTGGGATCTACAGAGCCGTGCACTGGAAATTGAGTAATTCATCGATTATGGTCGTTGGTTCAACGGTAATAGAGAGGCAAGGACGTTCGCCGTCGTACTGCTTGCAGAATATACAGGGTGTAACAAAAATGTGGGCACTCGGGGGGTGAATTGGAACAAGTTTTTTCTTAGCAACAATGTAATCTGAGGCTCCGTTACCGAGATATTAACGAAAAACCCCGACCAATCAGAGCGCGAATTTGTCAGCCGAGTTCCCGCGGTATTGTTAGCCACCGCTAGGGCTGGAACTCGGGTTGGATAATATTTTTGTTACACCCTATATAGTGTGAAGAGTAAATTTCTTGAATTGTTCAAAAGTATCACAGTACATTCGATTATAGTTGGGATATGTACAGTGTATAAATGAACAGATTTTGTCGATTGCTAGTGACGGCGAACGTGTTAATATTAAACAGTGCTTGATGTTGGAATTCAAACGATAGCTGTGCAATACTGTGAGTGTAGTATATCAGAAAGCGGGAAGTAATGGCTTCTTGGGACCATGCTGTAGTCTATGAAAGTAAGGCGAGCGATTTTACTATTTATATACAAAATACTTCACGTCGTTAGTTGAGGAACTAATGTTACATTTTGGTGTTAGTATATATGCTTCGATCGTGTATCGACACAAACGGTCGACATCTTGTAAGTACATAGACCGTTAGAGTTAAGATACAATGGATGATTATTAACACTTTGCCAGTGTATCAGTATATGTATCTTGTGCTACTTTCTTACAGTTGCTTATTTTCGAAAACACGCATTATCTATAATAGTAACCAGTTTGGAGTTAATGTGCAGGTGCGAGTGGAAGCGGTACAACATGCACGCTAGGCGGGGTATACTCACCCGACGGTAGCTGATGAGTGTTTGATTCGTTACTCTCATTGCTGTGGAAGCTGGACGAGTCTGGAACTTCGCTTCCGGGTACCTCCGTGATGTTAGGTAGGGGGTTTTGACTTGGCCTGACCCAGTCTGAACAGTCCCAGTGATACCCTAAAAGCATTGCAGAGAACAACTGTACTCCGACACGCTACATGCGACGACCTGGCCCCTGCGATACGGAGCGGAAAACAAAGAGATAGATAGAAATGCGTGTGGTTTGTGTATGTGCTTTGTGTGAATGTATATGTGTGTGTCGATGAAGAAGGGGCGGGAGATGAAATAAAACGAGAGATTGGCCGAGAAAATGAATATAGGTACAGCGAGAAGCGAAGCGACCCAAAAATCTGTAATGTCATCGTCAATATTTCAGGCATACTAGTTACTCGCACTTACCACCGACAATACGAGGATCATCCTCGATGGACGTCATGGAGGTCACGGAGGTCCCACCTCCATGAGGCACGCGTCGAGAAGAATTTAGTAGAAGTCCTCCAGTGGTCAGCTCCGGTACCACTGGGCTCGCTCGTTTCAGGTCTGTTAGCGCACACAATACGATACACCAGTGTTAATTTCAATTCACTACACGCCCAAGTCAGCATACTCTTCTGGATATTCGTATCGAGACGGGGAGGAGGGAAGTGCACTAGGTCTGTGAGGAAGTTCTGTTGCGTACATTGCTCTGCTGTTATCTTAGCAGTTAGAGGCATCGTAACTAAGTTGACAAACACTTTACCTGTAAATCTACTTAACTGCCCAAGGGGAAGTTGTATTGTAACTTGTAAAGCGTGAGACGTATTATATATTCGATCGTGGTCTGAATAGAAATAGATATTCTACTTGGTTGTGTGGATCTGTGGTCGTTCTACTTGTTCAATTAGGAACAAATTATTTTCTACTCGTGTGACCAAGAGTCATGTCCTGGTTGTCTGTTCAGGGATGGTACATATTCCACTTAAACAGCCAAGGACTATTCTACTTGTCGGGAAGGAATAGAAGTATTCTACTTGTCTGGCTGATACCCGATGAATTCATATTTGTCTGACCAGAGACTGACCTTATTCTGTTATTCTGCCCACAAGTAGACCACATTGTAATTTCCCAGACAAACGTAGATCACGTTCTGACTGTCTGATCATGGAGAGCCACCATAATCTACTTAAACCACTGGCACAGAGTAAAATTCTACAGTTCTGCCTAATTTATTAAAAAACATCTCCGACATTTCAAACCCGCAGACTAAGACACGATGTTTCAATTTCGAAGATATTGCGCTACAAGAAACGACTTGTACTCAAATTAGTTGCATTAATCATCTACTGACTTACTGGTTCGTCCTGTGACACCAGAAACTGTAACAGAACTTTCCAACAGGCCTAATACTAGTGACAGTGAACGAAGTCGAATGGGTTAGAAGGTCAAGATACTAAAAGAGAGGAGGAAGATTGGGTAGGAGGAATGGGGATCCAGAGGGATACGGTGGCGAAGGAAGAAGAAGCTAGTTCCACCCACGATGCATGCCGCAAGCGAAAACAAAAGTAAGAAGCTACGATGAGCGAGGGGAAATCAGCAACGCATACTACTCACCGTTCTTGATCTTGGTCGTGTCCGTGATGAACGAGGCTAGTTGCATCTGTTCTTGCCAGGTCGGCTTATGAAGGCTATCCGTGTCGCTGCCTGTAGCGTTTCCGCCGACCGGGTTCGCGAGAGTTAAGGACGCAGGTGGGACAGGTGTGGAACGGTTCAGGTTTCGTAAATAATCTGGCGGGAAATTTTCTAACTCGTCGCCGGCGCTACCGTAGCTGCGCAGTGTGTCCAGATTATTTAGAGCGACGGCCGCCGAGTTACCGTACGCGGCCGGCTCGTTGTTCGAGCTGGGAGTGTAGGACGCGGGTCTGGGGGGACATTGGGGGGGTTCTCTCTGCAAAAAAGAATCACACGAAAACCTTAAAAAAACCCAGTGCACGCGCGCAACACTCTCGCGGGGGCGGATAGGGGGAATACGATGGTCGCAAACTAAGGAGAAAAAAACGGCAATGAAAATAAAATCTAATTCGTCTACCCACTGGCGATCAAAAAAAAAAAAAAAAAAAAAAAGGAAAAAATGATTAAAAGCATGCTTCTTGTAATCCATTATAATCGTAATACCTGTATAACTTCCAGGTTGCTCAATTTCGAACTTCGTTTGAATTCGTGCTCGTGTGGCCTAGCCGAGTTCAGTACGATCTGCTTTCTGGTCTCGTTGTTGATGTTGTTCGCCCTGGCCCTGGTGCGCTTCATTCGGATTTTCCTGAACGCGACGAATACGATGATCAGGAACACGTTCAGAACCACTGCGATGCCTATCCACATCAGTTGCTCCCAGGTGATGTTGAAGTGATTCGATATGATCGGTGTCGAGTAAGCTGGATTTCCGCAGGTCAGGCCGATCATGTTCGGCGGACAGATGCATCTGTATGTCCCGATCTCGTTGACACAGGTGCCGCCGTTCGTGCACGGGCTCGCGTCGCATTCGTTCACGTCAGTCTCGCAACGCTCGCCCATGAAACCTTGGCATTTGCATATCGGCCCGCTGTTACCTTCCTCGCAGTCTTCGCCGTGAACGCAGGGATTAGGGCTGCAATATCGTCCAACCTCGCATCGTTTGCCGCTTAGACTCGGCCCTACGCATTCGCAAGTGTAGTCGCCACCCTCGGGCACGACTTTGCAACGTCCCCCGTAAAGACACGGCGAAGATGCACAGGGATCGGTGTCTACTTCGCAGGCTATACCCGCGAATCTGCTATGACACTGGCACTCGTAGGTGTCGCCACCGGAATCTTTGCAGGTGCCACCATTCTGACAGGGTTGAGAGCCACAAATCCCAGGTGGTACCAGAACGGTAGTAGCATCGCAACTGAACTCAACGTTGGCAAAGCGTTTCAGGACAGCCACACTGTTCGCACCGCTCATGTGCAGGGGCACAGACACTCTGGCGATCCTTACGTCATCCATACACCCAATGAAACCACGCTGAACATCTTCGAATCCTAAGACCGATGGATGTTGCCTCACTTCCGCACCCAAATAGAGATCATCCGACTGGAGATTTAAGATGCCGTTGTTACCAGGCGCTGATCCATGAGCCAAGTGTTTTCCATCCACGGTCAACCTGGTGCTGTTACTTTCTCTCTCCAGTTGGATCTCGTGCCACTGTCCGTCGCTCACGTACATGCTGCTCGCCCGAACTAGACCCTCTCCGCTTCCCAGGTCGAATTTATATTGTACTACTCCGTTGACAACCTCGAGGATATTGTAGTCCACTTTACCAGCTGCGTACATTAGGTTTCCTGTTAGTTGTACCGTTCTGATCCTCAGGGACAAACTCAGGCGATCTTCAATGGTCTGTCTGATGAGGGTTTTGTCGATCTTGTAGCGGGCGTAACTCTTCCCACTGAAGGATATTGGGTTCCTTGGAATGTAACACGATTCGTCGTGGCATTTAGAGATGTCTATGTCGCAGGTCTGACCGGCGAAGCCTTCGGGACACTGACAGGAGTAGCCCTGAACAGAGGAGTCCGGCACGCAGACCTTAAACAGCGGACAAGGATCTCTGGCGCACTCGTTAACCACCATCTCGCAATGATTACCAGCATAGCCTTCCTTACAACTGCACTCGAGCTTATGTTTATGTCTAGGGGACACGAAGCTCATTACATCCGTGGCGACAGGTGTTATATGTGCCACATCAAGAATAATCTTGTCGTGGCAGTCTCCGTAGACGCAATAACCTTTATTGCACTTGAATCTAACGATCTCTTCGACTACTAGCTTTGTGGACTCTTCGAGCTCCTCGATACGCTGGTTCAGAGCTTCTCGAATGCTCTCCGAAGGAAAGAATCCCGTTGAACCCAAGCCAGTCCCAGGTTTCTTTACTGCGAATAGAAGATCCAGGTCATTATGCACAGCTTGACGAATAGCTCTCGATTTAATTAGATTCGCTTCGTCAGTGGATGGCTGAACGCTGATGATAATGATGTCCTTTGGCCTGCAAGCTGTTGCGTGGCGAACGGTCCTGAGGAATCCTTTACGATGGCTCAGAATAAAGTCTTCGGGACTGACTTCCCTAAATCGAACGATTACGGAGTTCTCTAACATTTTCTCGGTCACAAGATCTACGTTCACCTTGACGAGAGAGTACGAATAGAACTTGCCGTCGGTTACACTGACGTTCACTCTATATTCTCCGACGTCGAGTCGAGGAAGGGCCACCAGGGTTCCATCGACCTTGTCAACTTGGAAGAGATTATTCGGTATTGGCGATGACGGTACCAAACTGTACTGAAGAGTGTCGTATTGATCCTGATCGGATGCATGGATTTTTCCAATGGTACCGCCCGGGTACTCGTCCATGTACGAATTAACGACTATTTCCAGTGGTGTAATTACCGGTGGATATTGAGATTCCTCGATCACTTTGATCACGACCCACGCGTCCGAATAAAGGGGTGGACTTCCGTTGTCAAAGACACGTATGTGCAACACGTATTTGTCTTTCACTCTGCTGTTGAACTTTGTTGCTGTTCGCAGCGTACCGTCCTGTTCTAAACGGAAAGCATCGCCCTCGTTGCCGGAACGGAAATCGAACGTGTACGGATCAGCATTTGGCTCGACATCAGCATCGGTGACTACGAATTGCAGGACAGTGTGGCCTAACGCCTTGTCCTCTTGCACCACCGCGGTGTAATTCGTGAGTGAGAACAACGGTGGATTGTCGTTTGCATCTACAATCTCGATATTTACCATTACGAAGCTGGAGAGCATTGGTATACCACTGTCACGGGCGTGCACTTCCAATACGTAATTAGAGGTCTGAAACAGAATGAGAATTACATATAAATTAGAATACACTGAATGGTTCTGAAAATAAGAACACTAATTTGCGTTCGTAAATGGCTTCTCAAAAAGTTAGTTTTAACTTTATTATAGTTTTAAGTTTCCACTTACTTCTTCGCGATCCAGTGGCGCAGCAACGAAAATTTGTCCCGTGTTCTGATCGATCGAGAATTGCTTCTGTCTGTCACCTCGTTCTATGTAGTACGAGACGTTCCCGTTCTCTTCGCTGTCCAAGTCATTCGCAAATACCTGAAACATTACCCACAAATGAAGGTTAAATTGAATGGCCGTTAAATTAAAGAGTAATAAAATATCGAGCTGGACAGAGAAACAATTGTTCAGAGAATGAGGAGTATGAGTAGTGGACAGTAGTTAGGGATGAGTGGTCAGTTTTGAGAAAGAGCAGAAAGTAATACCTATGTAATAGATGAGAAAAGTAGTATCTACTAACCTGCGTAACTTTCTCTCCAATCTTGGCGTCCTCCTTTACAGAAGCCCTGTAGGACACTTCGCTGAAGACAGGTGCGTTGTCGTTGCTATCGATCACCGTAATATTCACAGTCGCATGATTACTCAAAGGCGGAATACCACCGTCAATAGCCTGAATAGTCAAAAAGTAATCCCTCGCGCGTTCATAATCCAACTGTTCCGCGATCGTGAGCACGCCGGTTCGCGCGTCAATCTGAAACTTCTTGTGCTCGTTTCCGCCTACGATCGAATAATAAACATCCGCGTTCACTCCAGTATCTTTCGATGTCGCGAGAACCCTGGCCACCTCTGTGCCAACCGCGTAGATCTCTGGCACCTTCGAGAAATAAACCTTGGACGCAAACTCCGGTGGATTGTCATTGATGTCCTGCACATTGAGGATCAGCGAGGTCACGCTCGTCAGCTGTGGTGTCCCCTGGTCCAACGCTTGTATGGTGACGTTGTACATCGCCTTGGTCTCTCTATCCAATGGTTTTCCCAGAGTGACTATACCGCTGTCCGCGGCTACATGGAAATGACCGTCAGCGGAATCGATGAACTCGTATCTGATCTTCCGATTAATGCCAATGTCGTCGTCGGTGGCGTGTACCTTGGTCACCAAGGTGCCTACCTCGACGTCTTCCTTCAGCGTGGCGCTGTACGTTTGCATGGTGAATTTCGGGGCGTTATCGTTCAGATCGGATATCAAGATCTCTAACTGGGACGAGCACTCCCAAGATGGCTTATCACGGTCCTGTACATGAGCGGTGAGAGAGTATTTCGCTTGGCTTTCACGATCCAGCTGACCGACGGTCTTCAGGACGCCAGTCTCCTTGTCCAGGGAGAATTTGTCATTATTGTCGCCGGTTAAATAGAAACGTAGTTTAGCGTTGGGCTCGTCGTCGTAATCGGTGGCCAATACGGTCAGGATGTAGGTACCCGGGTGCGATCCCTCCGATAGGATCTCTCTATAACGATATCTGAGGCAATACGGTGGATTGTCGTTTACATCGAGAACTTGAACGGTTACTCGGGTCTTGAAGACATATTTCCCGTCGGTTCCCACGATTTCGAGCTCGTAACGATCGATAGTTTCCCGGTCCAGGGACTTTGCCACGTATACCTCGCCGGTCGATCGTATCTGAAACTGCGATCTCGAGTCCCCGGAAGTTATGTAGAATTCGATCGGTGTGTTGACGTCCGAATCCTTGTCGACCGTGACCAGCTTGACCACCACCGTTCCTGGTAGAGCGTCCTCGTCCACGGTGGCTTTGTAGCGATCGTCGACGAACGCTGGAGCGTTGTCGTTGTAGTCCTTGAGCTTCACGTGAACGGACGTTCTGGCGAAATGTTTTGGGCTTCCGTTGTCTGTGGCGACCACCTGATGAAAGAAGAAGAGAAGTTCATGTTAAGTATTAATTAGACTAGGTTAAACTACAAATATTGTTGCAGATATCTTTCGATGCCTACTTGGAACTTATACTCCGGTTGTTTTTCTTTGTCAAGCTGCACCAATGTTGATATCCAACCAGTGTAAGCGTCCACCGCGAAGACATTCGCCAGTTCGCCTATATCCGAGCCAAACGAATAACGAACCTCCCCGTTGCTTCCCAGATCGTCGTCGTGCGCGATTATTTTTAGAATCGACGTTCCCTCCTCTATGTTCTCCGCCAAACTGATGCTATAGGGGTTGCTCTCGAACTGCGGCGCGTGATCATTTTCATCTAACACTTGGAGGGATATCTCCGCGAGGGCTGTTAACGGGGGACTGGAATCAGTTTCAGCGAGGACCCCGATCAGATGGCTATCTTTCAATTCCCGGTCCAGCGGTCTCGCAAGTGTGATTTGACCGTGGGAGTCGATCGTGAATTGAGGCGAATTCTCGTCCCCGGAAACGATTCTGTAAGACACAGTGCTGTTGGTCACGGTTCTTAGCCTCGTTATCGGCGTGCCGACGGCGGACGCCTCTGATATGAAGAATTTATCCTCTTTTCTCTCGAACAGAGGGGGAATGTCTTGCGTGCCCATGATGTAGACGCTGAGAGGAACGTCCGCGTGATGTGTCGTTGTTCCTTTGTCTTCTGCTCGGATGAACATTTCGAACAATTGATTTTCTGAAATACAATAAGTGGAGCAATTGAATATATCATTAGACACAGAATAAATCTATCTGTTCAAGCAGGAGACTTTGAAAACTTTCTATTATTAATACACGAACATTGGAAATAGAAATACTATATAAAATACATTTGCTTTTGATTTGAAGAGAACTAATTTTAATAAATGCTGAAAGTGGCGTCCATCAATTTCGATACATTTTTGCATTAATCCTTCTATCGTAATTATTTTATTATTTAAATGTACTCTTATACATTTGTGGACTTTTCGTACTTAAACATGAAGGTCACACTATTATAGGTTATTGGATGGGTCTTGATCTGAACTATTACGCCACGCTGATAATATTATGTAGTCCCATTTAAAATCTCACGTTACGTAGGACACCCTGTATAATTCAAAGTTAACACTCACCCCACGGTATACCACTCTTTTGCAGGAACAGCGACCCGGTATTCGGATTTATACCGAACAGAGTCTTCGCCTCCGACGTCTGTGGCTCGTATATCGAGTAAACGATCCTCGCGGCGTCATCCTCATCGGCGTCCTGAGCCTTCACCTTCATAAACGGAGTATTCAACGTCAAATTCCCGTGTATACTAGCTTTGTACTCTCTCAGAAGAAACATGGGCGAGTTATCATTTTCATCGCCAACCTTGACCCTGACCATCACGAATCCCGATCTACCACCTCCATCGGTAGCCATCACCGGTATCTCGTACAGCTTCTGTTCCTCCCGGTCCAATTTCTTTCTCGTAACGATCTCGCCGGTCAATCGATTTATATCGAAGATCTCTTTCATCATATTCGAGGCGATCGTGTATATCACCGTGCCGTAGTCACCAAAATCCTCATCTGTAGCGATCACACTGGTCACCAGACGGCCAGGCATTTGATTTTCGAAAACCGTGACCTCGACCACAGGGTTCGGGAACTTTGGATTGTGCCTGTTCGCGGGCAATATCTCGATCTTCACGCGGGTGAAACTCGTGTATACGTTGTCGGTCACCGACACGTTCAGCATGCTGAGCTTCTTCTCGCCGAAGTTCTGCATGTTGATCAACGAAATGATCCCTGTCGACTGGTCGATGTTGTACGTTTGTTGCTCATTGCCACCCACGATCGTGTACGTAAGCTTCTCGTCGACGTAATCGGGATCGCTCGCGGACACCACCGTCACGAATTGACCTCTTTCCGCGTGCTCGGATAGGGAACACGTGTACGAGGGCTGCTCGAACTTGGGTGGGTTGTCGTTCATGTCGATGACGGTCACCCACACGTGCGCGGTGCTCGAGAGACTCGGCATGCCGCGATCGATCGCGATCACCGTGAAGTGGTGGGACTCGTGCGACTCGTGGTCCAACGATCTTTTCAGGAATATCACACCCTCCTCTGGATCGATGTGAAAAAGATCTGTGCTGTTCTCCGTGTCGTTTTGGATCGCGTAACGGACCTGCTGGTTTATTCCTACGCGAGAAAGAGTAACTTTGTTATGGTAAAAAAAAAGAATGATCAAATTGGTATAATAATAAGTATGTTCAGTCACTCCATCAGCATTAAAGAATTCGTTTCATTGCATTGTCAATAATTAATATTATCGTTTGTTTTCATTTTTATGTACGTCCTTCTCTTGTGATAACTTTTATACTAAAGGGTATTTATTCAAAAAAGGGTTAAAATACTACAGCGTGCATAGTATACCACATAATAATATATTTTCAGCTTCAACTTTCATTAACAAGGGGGCCCATAACGATCATTACAATAACATTAATCATGCTGGGGGCACGAAGGGACATCCACGCCGTTAGTTACGAGACGAATTTCGTGGTCTCCACCCCTCGACATTAATTAGAAGTTTAAGGAGGCGTTCAACCGGATCCACGGAACGAATCTTCGGTGCCTTTTTGCAACACAATTTATTGTGTACTCACCGGTGTCGTTGTCCCTCGAGCTGACTTTCAGCACAGAAGTGCCGAACGAGGCCGCCTCCGACACGGATATGTTGTACGAGTCCTGAGTGAATTCCGGCGGGCAATCGTTCACGTCTAGCACGAGAATGCTGACCAGCACCTCGGCGTAGACGCCGGACACGCTGTCAGTCGCGCGGACCGTCAGCTCGTATTGTTTCTTCTGTTCGTAATCCAGCTCATCCACCACATAGATTACACCTGATTTATTGAAGAGAAGATTGTAGACCCAAAAGCACTCTATGCAGGCGTAGCGTCCACAAAGCCGAGAAACTGTCCTTTCGATGTATTTCTCCCGTGCTCGCGCGTGTTTTCTTATGAGAACGACGGGGACAATATGACCGAGGCTCCGATCGAATGAACTTGGACGAAAGCGAGGCACAGTTTATCGATGTCCACGGACACGTCTGAATGACGTGTGTTATACAGTGTGAACCACGAATCGTGATCAGTAGAGATTACTCTGTTATTAGCAGTCCGATCGAAAATGTTTTTATCAGGTATTGCATGGTTTCAATAGAGCTTTAATCTTCAACTTCTTTTTTTTATGAGTTTTCAAGGTCACCGTCAATTTCCTTTCAAAAATTCAATTAAAAAAAGTAACACATGTTATTTTAGGATACTTACCGAATTCGTCTTGAAATCCTCTAACAGATAGGCGTGAAAAAATTAAAGGTGTATACGCAAAAAATTGAAGGTGACCTTGAGAAATTATAAAAAAAAACAGTTGACAAAAAATTTGCTATAATCACGTTAAAGTTCTCTTGAAATCATGCTATACCTGATGAAAACATTTTCGATCGGACTGCTAATGACAGGGTAATCTCTACTGATCACGGTTCGTGGTTCACCCTGTATACTTCGAGGGGGGACAGTGTGATTTTGGGGATGGTACACGGAGAGTTGCTCGGTTTCGCGGACACCAAGGGACAACTGGGGTGAATGCAAGTCACGTAGTAAACATGTTTGTATAAGACGTTCGAGAATGAATCTGCGAATGCTACACGGAATATGTCTCTGCACTTATGAACATGACCGTGCCGACACGCCGATTAACAGGTTGACTTGGGATTGAGTTTAGCCATCTACTGACCGAATCAAGTTCTACGAAGGAAACGGAACACCTTTGAGGTGTACTGCGGCAATAAACATTTTCTAGAATTAGTGGTAGAGATGCTGCGAACTACCTCTTGAGACCATCTTACTAAATTATCGAGACTATTTAATTATTAACCCTTTAACACCCAAACCGTTAAATCGTCATTTGAAAATGTTGAAGTTGAAATTATTGATATCAAAGAGACACATCCTTTTCATATTTATTTTTTTATTCATTTTTGGAGGGAATATTTAAATTTCTCGACTGACAACGAGAAGATCGTCATCACGTGTCTGACTCGATGTTATAAGGCAAGGGGTTAATTCAATAATACAACTAGGATCCATGCGTCAAACAAGACGATCTCAATTAAACTGGGAGTTACCACAGTCAACCTGTTAAGAGGAACAAAAGTTCCTTTACCTTTCCTTAGCAGTAAGCTTTATTCCCATTTGTGCAACGCCAAATGCAATACATACACCCTTTCGATGTTTAATAATTTTTATTTCTATCTTCGGTTGCTGAAATGGGAACGCAGCTCGTTCGAGGTGCGTATGTTCGTTCCTAACAGGGGCGCGACGTAAGGTGCAAACGCGTCATGCGAGAGCAGAGTGAAGCTGCAAAAACCTCGGGCGTTAAATAAAAAAGAAAAAAAAAGAGATGGAAGTGCGCAGACGATATGACTATTGTTCGAGACAACATCTCATGATAAATTACTGCGGCCAGAACTGTTCTAAGGTAACAACATATCGCGTGTTTAAGCAACACTGTGCTCCAAGCCCGTTTTCCACAGCTCCGTCTCGCTTTCTATGAGATAATGAGACCGGTTCGAGTTACGGTCGAAGGGGGGTGGGTGGGAAACGGTGAATAAAAAGTAAGAGTATATATGTATATGCTCGTGGAACAAAGTGCACGACCAAAGCGTTTTTTTCTTTCTGTCCGGTTGGAAAGGAGTGTCAGGGTTATAGCATGCCGTTAAATGTTGCATTGTTATTAACGATCGAAACCGTCCCCTTTCGTTTCACGGGTTCGTGCAACGTGCTGCGATCGATGGTGAGTGGTGTTAGATAGTCCCGAAGAACTGGATGCGTGTGAGTAGATGCAGAAGCCAAATAAGAGAACCAGAGGCCTTTAGACCTGCCAGTTTTGGACGATGCGTGTTAATAGCGTTATTGCTTCCTCGAAGGTGTCGTTATTCAAAATTTGTCGAGGTACTTTGTCGCGAAACGGTATACTACAATTGATTTTCTCGTATCGTGAATACTATAGGGGGATGAAACGATAATTTCAGACTTCCAAAGAATGTACAATAATTTAGTGGTAGTGTTTATTTGAAAGAATAGCTATGGAAATCCAAATGTAAATTTTGTAACACTACCTTTGTATTACAATTCCATTCTGGATACTCATCTTCACAGTTTCCGAATATTACATTTTTGGAAGTACTTCGGTTTGTTTGAAGTGTCCATTACCAACATTAATCTTAAACAACATATACTTCGGTAACAGACAGAACAGTTTCGCTAATTGTTTGTCGGAAGACTCCGCGCGGAACCAAGAATATTATTCACTGGTTACAAGAGTTTTCCGCGGGAATTTCAATTTCATTAATTACCCGGTCGTAGCAGTCGCACACAGACTGTACGGCCGCTAATTCCAATTAAATTCTCGTGGCAACGTTTCCGTCATCGTTATTATTCGCGGGGATAAAGGTGGGTACCGATATTAACAAGGCTTGAATAACGATCGTTATTTCGCACGGGATACCACGTTTGCTCGAAACATATTCTGTTATTCGTGCAACAACATTCGCCACCGCGTCGCGAGTCACGATTCGAATTCTTCGGATTAGCGACATTGATGAACGTTCTCGTGCGACGGGCCCCGCTCGCGTACGATCGTTTCGGGTGTTAACCTTCGAGTCGTGCATGAAGAAAAATAGAAAAGAAACGAAACAAAAAAAGAAACGTGAGAGAACCAATAGAGTAGTGCAGTAGCCAGTGTGAACGGTGCAACACAGCAGACGGATAGAACTAGTACTGTTTTTATACTCACAAGGACCATTGTTACTGTCGGGGGCTGCGAAACAGGGAGATACAACAAAACTTTAATTTCTAGTTCAAAATCAGATAAAGCATTCGTATAAAAAAAAAAAAAGAAAAGAATACAATCGTTGGGAGAGACAGGGTGAAGATAGGAGACCGATGTCTACCCGTTGAAGTATCAATTTTTTAATGGGGAAAGGATCCCGGATTACGAACAACGTGTTTCAATAATTTGCTAAATAGTATCAGTCGACGTAACCGTGATCGATTATCGAACCGTAACCAATTCAACGGTGTACGTAGACCTCGCAGCTTGTGTGTTACGTGCGATCCATTCCAAACATCCCCATTTCGCTACTGTCTCACCACTACACCGTTTACATGATTAGAGAATTTAGTCACCGAATACCATGTACAGTGGGAAAACCGATAATCATTCGCCGATACAGAATACGCTCGTTAAGGTGGCTCGACTCGGTAACTCGATAGTGTGAAAACGCTATCGCGAGTGATCCACACGACCGAATTGAAGTGAAAAAAAAAAACAATACCGTTCGCGGGGGCACACGCTCGAATTCGGGATTGAATTCGGGATGTAGTCACTAGTCGATCGCACGTTTGCGTGTCGAGTAGAAAACACGCGTTCGTAAGACTATCGGAGAGCTTGCCAGAGATAACGTTCTCTTGAAATGAAAGTGTACAAATATGGATCACCTTATTTTGAAAAGTAAATGTTACTTCGGGGAGAATAGTTTTGACAATATTACGTTTTATAGTGAACTTTAGATACTCTTCTGAGAAGGTATTGTTATAAAAGGGTCGTTTAATAGGTTATATCCACTTAAATTACGGTAAGTTTCAGTACCAAAAGGTTATCTAAAGGTCAACACGTCATAAATGGCCGAGGTTCCCCTTCGATTTTCTATAGCAATATTCCATATACACACAAAGTGGTATCTGAAGAAACAATGTCTTCTAGTTAGTATTTTTCCGTTCTGCAAGAATAGCTGTTCGAAAGGTCATTTGAAGGTTAACGTATTATAAATGTCTCAACTTTGCTGTCCATCAGCTACAATATTAGTCTAAACACATAAATGTCATGATCAAAACATTGGAAATATAAGTGTGTCCCAAAATAGTTGGAAGTCCTTCAAAGGGGTGACTACTGGGGTGATTTGAAACAACTTCTTAGCGAAAGAGTTCTTCGAGCTTTTATTAGCGAGATATCTACCGCGTAGCCAACGTTAACACCTCAGGAATCACCCCTTTCAAGAACTTGCACCTATTTTGGGACATCCTTACTTTTCAATATCGAGTGACCCACCATTGTACACTTTCACTGACGTCATTGCTTCGTATGGAACGATGTGTAGTTTCAAGATAAAACAGAAACAAACAAACTCTTAACTTCGAAAACCCTTACTGAATCCTTTGACACGCGAGTCGCTGCAAATTACATCGTTCCATAGCAAGGAGTTCACTACGCGTTTAACCCAATTCGTTCGAAAAACCGCGCGACGGACGGTTTCACGCTCACCTGTATTGAAGTCCAGGGCAAACTCTTCGAAATCGTTGCCCTTCGTTATGCTGTATATGAGCTTCCGGTTCAGAGGTGACTCAGCCTGAATGGACAAAGCCAGTGGGGAGTGCACCTCGATACTCTCCAGCACGCTGTCCGTGTAAAATTGCTTGTCGAACACTGGCATCGAGCGATCTATCACCTTCACGTTCACCGGCACCTCGATCGAGCAAGGTGTTGTACCTGAAATAATGGTCGAATCTTGTGAATAAAAAATTTCGTCGGACTGTAAACGACGTGAATGGTGTTCGGGATGGATTGCGCTTACCGCCGTCGTACGCAGCGATCGTGAGCTGATATTCGCGATTGTGACCCTCCAGATTCTGCTTCAGAGTGATCTCCCCGGTCTTCCGGCACACTTTGAACAATTCTCCGTGACCTTTCTTCAATTCGTACCGAACTTCGCCGTTGTCACCGCTGTCCATGTCCACTGCGTGCACCTGTGTGATGAATAAGTGTAAGGATGATATACAGGTGGGGTAATAAAACGGGTAATATAAACAGTCAGACGAAATTTATTCAGACTACAGTCTACCCTAATGGGGTTTAGCACAGTGATAGAGCTTGGAATTCCGAAGCCAATGATATTTGTTTCAGCTGCAGATAATCATTAGTTTATGAAATATTTAATGTTCAGTGCCTTCGAACACATCGAGAATTTACCGTAAACTAAACGGAAGTCATTCACAGTTCGCTTTTCAGAAACATCTCTCATTCAGCTCCAATCATACCCACGACCGATCTATATTAAATTCTCCCACGTGCCACATAACTGACTCCATTTTGAATTCCCGTTAGATATTCGAAAGAATCAACTAAACGGGGTTTCTGAAACCCGACAGAATCTAGACCATCCGTTTACTTCACCATTAAGTCAGACTATCGACAGATTCTGCCACTCTAAATTTATTAACGTTGAATAACTGAAGTTCACTTACTTTCGTGATAACTGCGCCCTTCTGAGCGTCGACCGAGACCACCGAGTAATATGGTAGATTGACGAACATCGGGCAATTGTCGTTGATGTCCAGTATGGTGACGTTAACGATCACGTGCGCGACCCTCGGCTTCTCCCTGTCCGGCATCTGGCTCTTCGCCTCCACGATCAGCTCGTAATGGTCGCAAACTTCACGGTCGAATCGAATCCCCGTGGTGCGGATCGCGCCGGACGTCGATCCAATTACAAACATGTCCGTCGGGTTCAGTATACCGAAGACAATGTGCTCGTTCAGAGCGCTCCCGAGAACGTTCACGACCGCGACGGTCGTGATACGCGTCGAGTTCTCCGGGATCGTTCCCTCGTACACGTCCTGCTGGAACACCAGACCCGAGTTCTCCGACTTCTCGACCAACACATTTACCTGGGCGACGCTCGAGTACTTCCCGTCGGAGACACGAACACGTAGCAGGTAAGTTTTCTTCATACGTTCCGGATTATAAACCGTGATGATGCCAGTCTGAGCGCCTATGTCGAACGTGTGCCCCTTGTTCCCGTCGATGATATCGTACCTGAAGAGAAAGGGCACCGTAAAGAAAGGGTTGGAAGCACTACTCGTACTAGTATATTAAAGGAACGTTTATCGTCCATGAAAAGGGTGGATTAGTGATTGAATGGTCAATTTACAAAATAAAATTTTTGATCGTTATTCTGCGTGTTCGATGTAATTTAATACTGAGCGAACTATTGGCTGCGAACAAGATGGTTCTTCTGTAAAATATTAGAGGAAGTTATTGATGTTATATTATACGCTGATATATTATATATTATATACAGGGTGAGTCATCTAAAATTTTTATTTGACATATCTGCGGTGTTTTTAGTGATACGAAAAAATGTGTAAGAGACACAATGTTTCTTCAGTGGGTCAATTATTGTGATGTGGTTGGTCTATTTAAATGTGAGTGACAATTGTCAAAGGTTTGATTTTATTGGTCATAAGGTGATAGTTATGCTATAATATTATGTCTGTATGGTTAATACTTCCATCGGAACGAAATAATTTGCAAATGAAAAACAGGGAACGAACACCTATGTAAATGTCTCGGCTCCCCTACGGAACAAGTGGGCAGGAATTTTCTTCCGGCACGGACAGAATAAACGCGGCCGTGTATCAACCGGAGATCGTACAAATTTCATGCAACAATTATAATGGTAAATGAATGCTAACGAAGGTACCCGTGCGAGGGCATAAATATGAATAAGCTTTTTAAAACCAGCATAAATATAGGGAGGAGCATACACTATCGTACAGAAAGTTTCGCGTCGGTAGCATATTTTGAAAACTTCGACAATTTGTTGAACTATTTATCCCTATTTTATATAAATGATCACTGGTCTAGGGATCAATTCATATTTTAATACATTAATGTACAAAGACAGAAATTTATATTTCCCTTGCAAAGTTTCTCCTATCAGAAATTATAAATGTGTAAAGTCCGTAGTTTAACAATCCCCAATCGATCAACAGTCGTACATTAAGGGTTAATAATTCAAATCAGGGACTAATCCTAAGCAGATCCATCATCTTGTTAGCACTAAAAAACACACTTGAAAAAATAAGATTTTGCGTACCTGAGCGGGACACCTTCGGAGCTGTCAGGATCTACAGCGCTGACTTTGACAACCGCGACATTTTTGTAGGTAGGCAACAGTAGGGTGGTGTTGTAATCGTTCTCCAGGAACTTGGGTGGACAGTCGTTCACATCGGTGACGATTATCACCACCTTGGCAGTGGTCTCGGACGAGAGTTTCGGCTTCCCCAAATCGGACACTTTCACGTGAAACGAGAATTTGGGTATGCTTTCGTGATCCAGTATCATCACGGTCCTAATAGCGCCGGTGCTAGAGTCGATGTGAAAGTACTTCCGCGGCAGATCCTCCACAATATCGTAATTTAAGAGTGCGTTCAACTCTGAGTCAGCATCTTCAGCCTTTATCACCAACGGTATACTGGCATTAGTCAGTACCAAGGATCCTATGCTAGCTCCTTCGCTGATTTCGCCGCTGTACGTGGCTTGCAGAAAGCTTGGAGCATTGTCATTCCGATCGAGAACATGGACGATCACGTTGCTGGTAGCCCTGGCGCCAGCCATGTTGGTAGCGGCCACCGTCAGGTTGTAAAACTTCGTTTTCTCGTAGTCCAGTTCATTCTTGATCACTATGATGCCTGTGCTAGGGTTCACGAAGAACGTGTCGTCCTTATTCCCATCGACGAGCTCGAACTGTAACGAGGAGGTACTTCTTGCCTCTACGTGCTTCACGTAGGTACCTAACTGTTGGTTCTCATAAATCTCCGCGGACAGTTCCTTTTGGATGAAACGAGGCGGGGCATTGTCGGCCATGGTGACCATTACGTGGACTGGAACGGTGTTGGTCAACGCTGGAGAACCGTGATCCGTGGCCTTCACTAGCAATATATACTCCGACGAGATGCTCAGATCAAGTTCACGAGCTACTCGGATGAGACCAAGTTCGGGATCAATGGAGAACATGTTCCCCACGTTTCCAGATGTGATGGAGTACGTGATCCTTGCGTTTTCGCCTCTGTCCCTGTCGATGGCGTAGACTTGGACCACAGCAGCGCCTATCGGTGATGTTTCGAACACCTTTCCTTGAATGATCTCGCTGGTGAACTCCGGGGCGTGGTCGTTGTGATCGTGAACAGTTACTATCACTCGGGCGTAGTTCCGTTTAGCCGGTGTACCTTGGTCCTTCACCATCACGGTCAGCACATGTTCCTCGATTGTCTCTCGATCCAGAACCTCGTTCAAGGTCACGGTTCCGGTCACAGAGTCCACGCGAAAGATCTCCAAAGACGCCTGATTCTGGGCAGCATGAAGGCTGTAGAAGACCTTCTTGTCCTCGTCCTCGTCGGTCGCGTGCAACTGCAAAATCCTCTCGCCCTTCTCGACGTTCTCCGAGATGTCCACGTGATAGGTGCCCTCCGTGAACTCCGGCCTGTGATCGTTGATATCGATCACCGTGACCAGCAGCTGCGTCACAGCCGTGTGCACGCTATCCGTCACGCCGATCGTGAGATTGTAGAAGTTCTGCGTCTCCCAGTCGAGCCTCTTCGCCAGCAGCACGTTACCGTTGTCCCGGCCGATGAAGAATTCGTCCCGCTTGTCGCCGTCTGGAACCCGGTATTAGACGTTTTCACGGATATTATACGCGGTCGATGTATTTCCGCGACCAATGACGTTGGTCACGATGCTTTTTGTACTCTAATCCACTTGGTGAACAGAGTCTATATTTGACATCACCACTTTCTTGTAACGTTTGATCGAGTAATTATTGTATACACATTCATTTGATAACATTCTACTAAAATTGAAGTTGAATTACAGATATTACTTTATGGGTACTATAGAATATTTTCTTTAGGGTGGAATTTATCTCGGAACGAGTGCACAAGAAAATTCGTAGAACCGTCGAAGTAACGCGTCAAAGTTCTCAAGCACTCGCTTTACCCGAGAAATGGTACAATTTTGATCACAGGAATGTACACACGAGTGTACGTCTAACAGGCCGGAGCCATTTGGCGGCGGGAACTTAAACCGCCGTCTGGGATCCACCCTCGAAACTTTCCGTGCTTCGATCCCTCCCCTTCGCTCGGGAAAACGTTAGTCGTGCCTTCGGTCGGTTCAGATTGCACGAATGTGTGTACCGAAACGAGGGGAATATTTCGCCAATTAAAGACGAGACACCGTGAAACCTAATGAAGCCCACACACCAACCCAATTTCCAGCGGATACATTCGGTCGCGCGGGTTGGTCTTACTCGCTGTGTACTCACCGAGGATATCGTACCACAAGGAGTCGCCGTCTTTGTCCGTGGCTTGTACCAACGCGACGAGGAAACCCACTTCGTCGCTCTCCGTGACTTCGACGCTTTGATTGTTCGTCTTGAAGACCGGCGGGTTCTCCGATTCCTTTGGTACCTCGACAACTTGCACGGATACCCGTGTTTGATGACTGCGCTGCGGCTCGCCGCTGTCTGCGGCCCTTATCTGCCAGACAGAAACCGTAACACGGGGGTAAGTTATACGGGAACTGAAATTGTATCAAAACCGCTGGCTGCTCCGGATCGACCGTGAATTATGACCTATCGGAGCGTTTGGGAGAGCTTATTACGATACGTCGGGAAAGTTTGTACGACTGTTTACAATATAGGGAAGTGTGCTGAGCCAATAAGAACTACTATCTGAAATAACTTTTTATATCGAATGGACACAATTTGATTTTCTTACATCTTATTTTTTTTAGATATCAAGGTGACCTCGAGTTTTTTCAAAGTCAATGAATCTTCTTTTTAATACCATGTTGTTGTTGAAGGAAGGACGAATTAGACGACTTATAGAATAAAGACCTTCATTAGGTATTAATTTTGACAATACCGTTTTAACATTTTGCTCGATTTTGAGGGTTAAGGTCAACTTAAAGTCATCATGCTATACGTGGCTGAATTCGTTCTTCCATCGATAACAACGTGGTATTAAAAAGAAGATACATTGACCTTGAAAAAACTCAACTTAACCTTGATATCTCAAAAAAAAAAATAAGATATAAAAAAATCAACCAAAATATAAAAAAAAAAAACCAACGACACAAGAATCGACGGAATATATCGTTGTCTTTTCTTCTGCGGAGGAGTAGGATCCGATTTAGTTAGACAAATCCGTAAGTTACAATCCACTCACCATCATCTCGTATTCCTGTCCAGCCTCGAAGCCCCGTTGCGAGTACACCATCCCCGTGGCTGGATGGATTTTGAACTTGCCCTTGCCCCGACCGCCCTTGATGCTGTACTGGATTTTTCCATTATCGCCGATGTCTTTATCATTCGCGAGAACCTAACGTACAGGTAACAGAAATATATTAGAGTTACGTGTCTCTCGATGCCTCCATTTCGTCGTCTGTACTCACTCTCTACTAACAATAACGTTACACGACACAAAAGAGACATTGGTATCGTGCGCGGCCGTCACAGCTCTGTGTCGAATAAAAAAGAACAAGAGAAAAGAAATTCTGAAAAATTCGCAAGATTCAAGCCCGTTTCTAAAATTCCCATTGCAACGCGAAATCCCTCATGAAATGCTCGATAACGATGATTATATATACTCTGGAAGAATCTTCGTTCAAACGTTTTCGAATTAACGAAAATAACGCGTCTACCATCGACGAATGAAACTCTAATTAGGAAAGTCTAATTAACCAGAAAGGTAAAAAAACAAGTAAACATTCTTTCTAATATTCCTCGATTCGTTCTGGACTCCCTCAGGAAGTAATCGTCAAACATGGCGCTCGTGGCCTCGAAGCGTGGCATTCATTACACAGTCGACATCATGCGGCTCGCGAAAATTGAAAAAATAAAAAGGAAAAAGAGGAAACCAGAGGAGGAGACCAGCTGGATCCTCCTGTCGAATATCGATCTGCGTTAAAGCGTACTAAACCACGGGCCTCGCCTGTCCAATGCGCCATCGAATATATCGAGTGCACACTGTTTCTTCTACCACAGCACGCTTTTTTTTCCATGTGCTGGTCTCTATTATGCACTCGAGTCTTATGACTCCCAATGCTCGTGCTGTTAGATCGGTTGCTTGACATTCTATTTGATCACTCAATTATTTAGGTCATCCCACAGGCAATCTGCTATTTGATGTTTGAGAGTGTTGGTGGTAGGTACTTGATAAAAAATGGTGGTCGATGTTCTTTGATTAGTAGTATTGGATTTAACGAGACCTGTGTAAATTCATTTCCAGTACCGTATACGTTCATTTATTATCTTCTCTACCTGCGTCTTTCAAGTTGTCAGCATCATTATCGATTGCGTTTTCTAGACACAGAATTGTTTCTAATGTCCTGTCGTCGTTGGCAGCGGATACAGATGGCACAAACGCTTCGTCAACGTTGGCAATTATATCCAGTAATTCGTATGATTGTATGCGGTGTCAGAAATGCAGTGTTAACGCCGAAGAAGACAGTACGCGAAATTTTAAGAAGCATGAGAGTGTTTGTGTGTGTGGCTTCGATAGATGTTCGAGAGAAAGGTGCATACGTATAAATAATGGGATGACCTAAAGACAGCGTGTCACATTAATTAGCGTTCAATAGGAAAGAAAACGTCGAACTTGCCGCGAGCGTTCTCTTTCCTTCCCCATCATTCTTCCCTTATACCGCGCGTCATGCTTGTTCTTCCCATCGGGCGAAATCTCGCGGTCCCGAATGTCACGTTCCTTATTATTAGTGACGAGGACAGAACGGAAAAATGCTCAGGCGACAGCCCCGGTACAGACAGAAGGCGAACATTCAAGAACATAATGTGTACACATACAAGACGAACAAAATGGGCGTAATATCACGGATAGAGATCGAGACGAACACATACACAGGGATGATGAAAATGAAACAGCCAAGGATTGCGTACGATGCGATTTCGAAGTGTGTGTCTTCGGAATTTGGAACTGTAATTATTTTTCACAAGGAAGATAGATATTTTAATACATTTGTTTGATTGTACGTGAATTAATTTTGTAGAAACTCACGCATAATCGCTTCGTACGCGGTGTCTAAAGCCGTTGAAAAGGGCTTTGCATCGGGCAGGACAAACAGACGATCGATCAAATAACACGAATGCAAATGGCGATCCTATGAAATGGGCAGCGGGGGTTGCATGAAAGTTGCAGTATCATAATTATAACGTACAGTCCGATATATGATATATATGTATATATACATACATAGAAGCGGTAATAAATCAATGCAAAGAGCTCTCGCGTTAAACTAGCCGAGATCAATTCCGCATTTACTTATGTACGAATTATGCACTCGCGCCACGAGGCGGCGCTTTGTAGTTTACGTGCCAACGGTGTTCTTACCCTGAAGATATGATCTCCTGACAAGCTGTCGGGGCTAAATGTCTCCCAAGTTCCATTCTCTAGTAACGTATCGATCGAGAGGTCGAACTCCCGCGAGCGGTTCCTCGATTTCTGTCGAGAACGAGAGAAGGAAGACTTTTAACAATTCGCACACAGTTCCCGCTAATTCTCGATCGTTCCGTGGCTGCTTTGCTTCCGGCTCGTTTGAAGTGAACACCCCACACTAGTCTTGGGATAGATCGTCTTTTGCGAATGGAAAATTGCCACGAATACATCTCGACTAGGGCTGGTACAAATATTCGAACAATTCGAATACTTGATAGCAAGAGAATTCGAATTTGATATTCGAATATTCGAAGTATTCGAACTATTCGAGTTATTCGAAGTATTCGAGCTATTCGAAGTGATCGAATTTTGAATCTGAACATAATATATTCTTTTACGCTGTATCCTGAAATTCTTTTCATAATAGCCTTTACAATTATTTGTTTTTCAAATTATTATTCGGTACAATAAAAAATGCGATCACTTCATACTATTCGAATATTCAAATATACGAATACTCCGTACCATTCGAATTATTCGAATATACTTACAGCTCTAAGCTCGACGATGCTTTTAAACCTGTCGCTAGAGAGAGCCATCCAGCAAAATTACAACAGATTGTCGACGATTCCAATCGTCCCGCGATCGTTTCAACAGCGAAATGACTCCTGCTTTGATTATAGTTCGTGACCTATGGCCTCCCTCCCTGTTTCCTAACCCTACTTCCTTTTCGTTTCATGTTTCCTTTCTTCCTGCTTTTCTCTATCTTCGAGGGACATCGCACAAGAGATACTTAACCGAGTGACGCAGTGGAATTTCTTGTTTTGAAAAGAAAAGCAACGAGTTGTCCTACGATGCTCGAATGGGATCGCGCGATGATACCAGCTTAAAGCGTGTATACACACACACATACACAATTGCGAGCGAAATTACGGAAACGAGCGGCGGTAACTCGATATTCGGTGAAATCGAATCTGACCCCTCCGACGAAATTCGACACTATGCAGGGGGAAATTATATTAAATATTCGAGGGGGCCTGTTGTGAAAGGTATATCGCTGTTGACATCGGATTAACGAGACCCAAGCCCCCGTTAATATCGTTCATTATCTTATTTCTCTCGCGCTTTCCGAATTATCGTCGAATGTTTGTCAACAACGGAACGATGGCTCTTAACGGGCGCGGTTCTACTCGCAGTTAAACAGCGTTTTCGAATTGGATATCGCGTTTTCCATCGGTTTGAACGTACCGCGTTTAACTCGCGGAGAGTACGAATAATACTATCGTGCACACTTTTGTCACGGGATTATTTCCTCGAAACCGTTAACGGTACCGAAAAATAATTTGCATAAAAATTTAATGGTTTCGAGGGGAAAATAAATAAACAGTTTGTGTAGGTGAACGTGTAAAGTGGCATATGAAGGTCAAATTTCTTTTTGTTTCTTAATCCTCTTACTGCATTTGTCCACCACATTGTCCACCTATTTTATCACTTTAAATGACATCTAAACATTAGAAAAACGATGTCACTGTGATTACTAGTTCGTTATCGCGAGTAAACACATTATTTGCAAAATTCTTTTAAATGTTATAAATAATCTTAAAATGACTATTGGTTCTTGATTTTACGAATAAAAAGTTTTTGTCTTTTTTTACTTTCTTCGACACAGACGGAAGTTTAAAGTGTTCCGCGCGACCGAGGTCAGGATCGATCGACGATTCCCGGCCAGTCGTTCTGACCTAAGGGCTCGTCGTCGCAAAGGGAACTCGTTACCGCGATTTCCGTCAGTCGGGGCCTCCGGAGAAGTCGACGACGCGTGGAACGCGGCACCGGTAACACCGTTTCTATCTCCAGCTCGTAAATCCGTGGAACGACAAGCACGGTGGATTCTCGGCGGGCGAGGGTGTTCGTGCGCTAAATCTCCACCCTTTTACGCCGCGATAGTCACCGACCGGCGGTCGGTCGCTCCGGTTACTTTGATCAGACGTGGGGGATGGGTGGACGACTCGAAGAGGGTGAACCGGGCCGATAACGGGAAAACCGAGGGTTGGGTTATCGCGAGCAATCTCCTCTTTGTGGCTCGTACATATCCAGGCTCCTTTTCCCGCGGTTCGACACACACAAATGCACACGCACACAGTGTTGACACATCGACTTATGTACAGGGGGGTGAAAGGCGTAACGAAATTAAGAAAGATTTCAAGCAATCGGCAACAAATCGGTGGTGGATCGACCTTTTGTATGGAAGCCTCGGTGAATGCAAACTTTTTACTATCTTTACTGGATGGTCGTGTTGTTTTGGATTTTGTATCGTGATAGTAAAAGAGGTAAAGTATGGGCTAGCACTTTTACTTCAGGACTTATTGATAAACGTGTTCAAGATTTTTATGATGTAACATTTAAATGCAGATACTCGTGAAACAGATTTGCTTTATGATATGGAGTTAAAATAAGCTTTTTTATTCCTTGATAACTAGCCCATATTTAGACCCTAGGGTTTGTGTTTGGACCACCTCCCCTATCGTGTGAAGAGAAGGTGGTTAGGATGAGGGTGCTGTTAGATCACTTTTTTGGAAAGAACGTTGATGTTAGGATATCCAATGTTCGATTTAGAACGTTTGTAGGAAGAACTAACTTAAGGAATTGTTAGAGATTACAGCGTTTTCGTTCCGAAAAGATGATCACCAGGTAGAATGGGGTGCACAGAGCCGAGAGAGATTGATGTACTATGATCCGTACAACATTTTATCATTTCGCAAAAGAGAGAATCTGTACTATGAAATGTTGAACCGACTGTGTGCTAGAGAATTCTGCGCAGTCGGACGAAAACAGATTGCTCGATTCAGAAAGCTCAGTTACGATTAGCTCTCGGCTCACGCACGCCTCGTTCTCTAGCATACGTACGTACATCTGGACGTGTATTCCTCTCGCGGGACAAGGGGGGTTTTCTCGACGGGTGTACAGATAATATATACAGCAAGATACAGGGGGATATGCTTCTACGTGGTGTACAAAGAGACAAAGGAGAGAACGAAACGGGACAGAGTCGGTTCTGCCCGTTTCTCGATTTACATCGAGGGGTCGAAGAAAGTGCGGTGTGCCATGTCCCAAATCAGCTAGAAGGTCGGATAGAGTTACGAAGATCGGGGAGAATCGACGGAAAAGGTTGAAGGGAACCGGGGCTACGTACCTGGAACAGGGGTTTGTCGGTCGACGGCGAGGCCGGGATCTGTACGGTGTAGAATTTTTGCTCGAATTCGGGTCCATGATCGTTTATGTCCGCCACCGCGATCACCACGCGGGTCGTCGAAGACAGGGATGGCCTTCCGTCGTCTCTTACCGTCACCTAGAACATTAACATAATTTATTTGGTAATATTTAGACAACACTATTACAGAAAGAAATGGTGAAAATTATGAACTACATACTCCTGAGTATCTGTGATGATTTTTGCTGAAAGAAAGTAGTAAACTCGACTGTTGATGTTTGTCAAGTATCAAATATACGACGACACTATATCATTTTCACCGATCGTATCGCACAGAATACTGACGATTCCTTATCCACTAATGTATCCTTGGAGTGCATTAATATATTACCAAGTGTATCAAGATACCGGTAGCCATACTTTCAAGTATAATCTCCTTCAAAAATAAAAAATACCTATCATCCATTTCTGGCTCAAGATACGAAAACACCACCGACATAAATATCAGGACATTTGTTCCGATAACACGGTACCAGTATCGCTCAAGCTTAATTCTTTCCATTTTATACGCTTTATCTCGACCACTTACACCGTCTATCTTTCCCATAACCGAATTATCACTTTCATTGTCAGAATAGAGGCCAAGAAGAGCTCGTGGCGCGCGTTGCAGAGCCGAATCAAATGGTCCAATCCTCGACTGCTGGCGGAAACGGAAACTCGAGCAAAAGTATGGCACAGCTTCGAGCATGGTAACGCAATATCTCGAAACGTTTCTCGCCGTGTACGAGTTTCCCCTTGACTCTTTTCTTTTATCCCACTTACCGCAGCCGTTACCCTTATCCCCTCCTTCTCCTGCGCGCACTTTCTACCTTCTTCCTGTTGCTGCCACGAAAACCGGAGGTTTTCATGCACGGAGAATATCGCACGTACCATCTCGCGCGAAATCGGCCAGACTGACCGGGTTCGTCCTTTCGATCGTAAATGCTTAAAGGGCCGACGGAATTCTCGTCGGAGACGTCGCCGGGGGGAAAGTTATTCCTCCGACATGGAGAACGTTCCCGCGACGATAAGACTTCCTTTGCCACCTTCTGTCTATTCGAACGAGCTTGCTCTCCCGAATACCATTCTATTCTCGAAATTGACTTGGAAATATTTTTTTTTTATGCTTATCTACGGACGAGCAGGGAAATACTACTAATCACATCGATGTGTGATGTTTTAAATTTACCATGATTAATTAACAATACTTATTTCAAACTTTCAGCAATTTTGTAATGTCTTGTAATATTTATTTATGACCGGGGAGTATATACATGTACAAGGTGCCTCCACAAGTTATGTTCAAGCGGGCATGAGGTGATTCCTAAGAAGACAAGAAAAAATAGGGAATAAAATTCTTTCATTTGAGGCTTCTTTTTCTTTTAGAAGAATATGTAATACTGGTAATTGTAAATTACCTTGTATTAACATATTATAAAAGAAATAGCTGAAGTTACTTATAACTCATATGGACAGTCCACTGTTTTTATTCTAAACTTCTGTAGAACTGAACACTAGGACATAAGTTGGAACATCGATAAAAATATAAAAAAAATATACAACCTCGTACCATGGTTTATTTTTCAAGATTCATCTGTGACTTTTTCCAGAGAGTATTAACTCATCTCCGGCAACCACTTCAGCAGAACGACCTCACCCCACCAAGCTAAATTAATGAAAATTGTTATGCCGCCGGGGAGCGACGTTATAAATCCCCGACCATTATTTGGGGGATTCTTCCAGTCTTCCGTTCGAGTTAAAAGTACTTTCATGGAGATTCCTGGACTAATTTATGTTTGCCGAGGTGTCTCCGTTTTATTTCGAAACCCCGTCAACCCCCTTTTCACATGGTTACACTAAAAGATTACTTGAACTAATTGTATCTATCGATTACTTAAAAGGATCTTACCATAAAATGGTAATTTCATTGATCCACAGTAGTTAATTTCTCCTTCAAGAAATACATAAGTGACAAGATAGAATATTTTGGTCAACCTCTTTTTCATTTAGTCACATTGAAAGATTACTTGGTGTATAGGATAGTTCATTTCCCCTTTAAGAAATCTACATGTATTTTATAAGTGACAAGATAGAATATTTTGGTCTAGACATCTCGAATTCACGTTTGCGGCGTCGCGACCGGCTTTGTGCATTTCCGCCGGCGGATGTGATTAAATATCGATCGCGTCGAGTGCTCGGAATAAGGCTGCTTCACGTGTAAATAATTTCTCTGAGAACGCTTCATATCAACGGGATACCATCGAAGCGGACGAGTAGTCGACGAGTGAACTGAACCGGAAGACGGAATATATGTATACACATATCGGAACGAATGCGTATCAACGCCCCCACTCGTAACGATAAATTATTACCGCTCTTTGAATCTCGATATTCGCGAAACCCCGACATATCCGGCACGCGGTAAGTATAATTGATAACCCAATATCGGTTAATCGATACCACGGGCCCGATGTAACTTGGCTTTCGCGAACGATACAACGAACCGGACGGACCACCCTCGATATTGCTTCCGGTTATTTTCTCGCGGGTGTACGTGTCAACATGTAAAAACCATGATGGACATAAGAGAATATAGTCACGGTTTTCGGAGTGGAACGAAATAACCGAGCCGAAGTAATTAAGCTATCCTCGACCGCCGCCGCCGCCGCCGCTGGTCATGACAGTTCTCGATTGGCCATTTTAGCGAATTCAATGAAACTCTTTTTTTTTCTCTCTTCTGGCGTGGGCGCGTGATATTCATCGTGTTCCATTTCGTCGCATTCTTCCGGGAACTAAACGTACACGAGGACCGATTAGTTTTGGTTGCCGTGGGTAACGTGACAATAAAGCAATTTCGACTGAAAATAAATTTTGAAAATGGAAGTTTAAAAGTATTTCAGAAATATCATAACTTGGAAGTGTAAGAATGCATTATTTGTTCCATGATTTAACTGAACACAATCAGTAACGACTGAACTACAGATTGTTTCTATTTACAACAGATGCAGCTGAGTAAACACGAATACGGTAGTAATGTTAATAATACATAGAATTAATTTTCTTTTCCATTTTCCCCCAGTAAACCTTGTTAAGATAAGAAGATTATATTTAATTCTACGAATTAATAGTAATGCCAATACGTATAAATATCCGCAGTTCAATGATTACAATTACCACCTGCAACCCAATACACGTTCACCCCTTCCACGCCATTATCACGCGAAACAAACCATCGACCGGCGGCCACAGCTGAACGAAACACATATTGTCCACCGCAGAAATAATCAGAGGTCCAAAGACGCAATCCCAGCCGGTGGACGGAAGATCTAGACGCCAGTTCCGGTGTAAATTCACTTCGCGTGGCGTTTCACGTCCCATTCCACGGGCAACACCTGCGCTAAATTAGGACTACGAAACTCCTGTTTTATTCGGGCGGGTTTGCCGAACGGTTCGCTGGTCCTCGCCTCAAAGAGGACGTAGTTGATGCGGTTGTCTCTCTCCGGAAGCTACGAAACCAACGAGAAACGACGGAACCGGGGATGTGTTAGGTGTGGCTAGAGGAACGTGACCGCGTGTCCACTTGTAACGAGCTCAGTTAAGCCTCTGGGTGGATTAAGAGGATCGTGCAACGATATCGTAATGTTAGTTGAAACGTCGATTCGTTTCGTCGACTTAATGTCCTCGTAGCTGGTGGGATATTTAATATCAGCCGCGATCCAGTCAAAGACACGGAAATATGAAACAGCTTCTGGAAAGGCAATTTATCGGGCAGAAATGGATACATAGACGGAGGTCTATGTAGAAGACTAAGAATACGTATGTTCTTCGAAATCGACTAGGATGTTAATTACGACGGTCACATTATACATTCCGAGAAAATTATATTCGTTACGTGGAGCTCGTTAGACTCGTTAATTTTAAGACCATTACTTCCTTCTCAGGATACGTTGTCACGGACAGAGTGAATTATACTTGACTGAAATTTTCTCTTCTTTATCCTGGACAGAATTAGTGAACTTTTATTGGACGTTTTAATGATGCCCTTCTCGTTTTCATTTCACGTTCTACGTACTCCAGTTTCCCTTCCTTTCCTAGCATCTTACGTCTACACCGGTTTAATCTTCTTCTCTTTGCTAGTGCGTGCTTAGAGTGCGTACCTCATGAGGGGATTGTTAAACGACTCATTAGAACGAACGTCTCGAAATACGTACATCGTTTGAAAGCAAGATTACACGTTTTAAGGATTATCAAAGTTACCTACATTCATTTTTACATTTTCATTTATTTCCCTGATTTGCTTTATTTCAGAGATGGGCACAATTTTATTCGAATAACATATAGTGAGAAGCAGCAGTATCTAAGATCGTGATCCTGACCTTTAAACAGTTCATGAGATTAAATAATTGTTTGCAAAGTGTCTACTCATTCAAGAAGCAATATTATTTTATGAGAAAAATTGGAATTACAACAATCAATCAAATAAAAATGACGAAATATTTTTGTCATCTTTCATTCGTTATTCGAAACTTTTTATCTAGATAATGAATTTGCCCATCTCTGCTTTATTTCTGCTCACGATCACTCTATCCTGAATAGATAATGCGATTATTTAAATTTCTCACAAGCCACAAATACAGACAAAGTGGCAGAGTGTTCCGAATGATCTTCAGCCCCGAAGTACTTACACGACGTACCCTGTTTCGAGGATCTCCGCAAGAAGCCCCGTTCTCCCCGTGATTAGGGGTAATAGCAGAGCACTGCAGTTTCTTTAGAATCTTCTTCCCCTCCACAAGGTTCGTGTCGGAGTTTCCCCCTTCCCCCTTTCTCGTCTCCACGTAATTACCCTGTCGGCTTCTGCTGATTTCACCTGGTTTAACTCCGCGTCTGCGGCTAAGCCTGCGGGACCAGCGCTCGTTCGACACGAAATCCGCCGCTGCAAGGCCTCGGTTCCGACACCCCACGGAAACGACGCCGTAATAAACTCCGTTTCGCGGAATGTCGTCGGCCAGGAACACGCGACCGACATAAATTCTCGTTTTCCCGAAGCCGACGAAATATCGGCGGGACGAGGGCCGCGCCAGCCCGCGGCGGCACCGATT